ACAAATCAGATAACAGAATACAAACCAGAGGAAAGTAACCCAAATAGGGAAGCTACAAACAAAGAGAACTACAACTTAATACAAATAAAAGAAAATCTGCAAGGTTTTTTTTGTTTTGTTTTGTTTTTGCAACAATGGAATTGGAAAAGATATTTTATCTCCCAGGACTTCAAAATAAATTTGACGATAAGAGAGAAGATCTAACAAAATGGATTATAGAATTGCCAGGAGAATCATTAGAGCTTGGGACACAAAAAACACACATCTTACCTAATCTGTTTTTATTATTACCAACAATATTTACAAAAATACAGGAAGAATCTCTTGGCAAATTGAACATACTGATTTGGAAAGTTATTTGGCTAAAGAAGAAGGCTAGAGTTAGATTCAAGAGATTTGATTCGACTTGCCAGATGAAATATTATGTGATTAAACACTTGTTTGAATATGGTTAAAAGAACAGATAAATTGTAGATATAAAGGGGCCCTACAGTAAGAGGGATAAGATATACAAATAGTATAGTACTTTTTATAATATATGAAATATAATAAACATTGGGATGAAAAGTTTGGATATTTAAAGATAATTAACTCTGAGAAAATTATGACTGATAAGAATGGTTTAAATATACAGGAGAAATTAAGCTTAAATAAGAATTTTGAAAACAGGACACATAGTGACTTAATAAGATGACTTTTAGAAAAGATGTTATATGTTGATACTGTTGTTATTTGTACAAATATTAGAAAAATGTTTATATTTAACGTATGTATTGAAAATATTAAGAATTATATTTGTTTAATGTCGACAAAAGGAGACCAGTGGAAGAAGAGAAGATCAAGGAAATATATTATTAACTAATATATTGATTATGGAATTATAGAAATTAATTATTACTGATTGTTTTTAAATATATGAACCCAGACAACATGCTGTTTACTCAGTATGAAAGCTTGTTATTGTAAAAAATCAATAATATATATATATATATTTTAAAAAGAACCATGTTGTGGTTCAGAGTAGATTTTTATTCCCTGAGAAGCAGTGAACAAAACATGGATCTGATCTGTGGTTATGAAGAACTAATAAAATGCAATCCTGCAAAAATTATACACTCTTCATGTAAACATATGGAAGGGTAGTGGTGGAGGTGGATGGAGAGATTTTAAAATTCCTAGCAATTTGACTCTATCTACAGAACCCTCACATCCTGGAGGTAAACTGTTTCAACTCCTCCCCTCAGGGTGCCGTTATAGGGATTGCATGCCAAACCAACTAAACAAAGAGACATCTTTTTCCCTCATGCCATCACTCTGCAGTACTGTCTTTTGTATAAATACACTGTATTTACCCATGAAGTATTACTATTACTATTATTATTACTATTGTCCTTCTCATCATTTCTATTACCTTCTCTTATGGGTATCATGTGATTATTATTACGCTGTTGTTTTGCATGTACACTGAGAGTTTCTGCACTGGAGACAAATTCCTTTATTTGTCTAATCACACTTGGACAAATAAAGTATCCTATCTCCACAAGGATTTTTTTTTTTAAAAAAAAATGATGCACTATAAATAAAGACAATAAAAAAGCACAGTCTCCTTCTGGTCAAGTTCAACTCCTGGACTACATGTCCAAATAGTTTTCTTGACAATCATATGGAAATTGTTTGCCATTACCAACTTCTGATTTGTTTTAGAGTAGAGACTTAGAATAGTCTGGTGGTTTCTCATCCCAGTATTTCAGGTATGACCAGGCTTAGTTTTTTGAGATCATGAAGGTTACCTAGGTACAGCTTCTGTCGTAATTCATGAGGCAACTTGGCCTGCAAGTCAAATATGTATCCAGAGGCATATTAGATTAATCTGCATGGAACCTTATTCACTTTTTATAGTCAAGGCTAATTTGGTACAGGCATCTCTTTAATTGGAGCCTATCGTATCTAACAAACAAACAAATCAAACAACTACAAATAAAGCTACTTATCGAAACCAACTTCTTGATTATTTACAAGCAGTCTAAAACTCTAAGAGATGTTATTGCATACTAGTTGAGAATTTCAGATTTTCTCACTCTATGTTATTCTACCACTTAAGTGGGGAAAAAGAAACCCTACAGACCAATTTTAAACCTGAAGTAATTTATTCTGGGTCACATAATCTGGCTTTTGCTATTTGGCAACCTCCCCAAAACCAAATTATTCTGATTAAAGTGCACGTTATTGCTTTGGATTGCATATGTGAATTATTATGTTCAATCATTATGGCTCAAATCCAAATGAGATGCTTAGGCACACATAAGCACTTGACAGTGTGTGCCCTTCTAATTCCCCTGGACTAAATCAACAGATTTATGCATGCTTAAACCATTGAAATCAATGGGTTTGTGTATTCTTAGCTCTGTTCTCTAGTAAAGCACCTGGTTTTAATTTGCAACTGCAACTGCTTTCTTCTGGGTTCCTTTGACTTTCAGGCATGGTTTTATTGGCTGGGTTGAATGCAACATCAGGAAGGGACAGATCAGAATTCCTGTTTAAGATAGCTGTCCTCTGTATGAAACTCTGACTTCAGCTGCAGGAAGAACAGATTTTGATTTAGTTTGATTTGGGGTTATGATTAACTATCCCACAGACAAGGCTGAGTTCCTCAACTGCAATAAAGTGGGAGAGAAAAGCAGAATTGTAACAGTTGGAAGAAATTATTTCAGCCACTGAAAATTCCAGCTTAGTGCAGGGTCCAAATTAAAGCATTTACAAAACTTGTCTATCCAATTTACTATCAATTGTCTGCTTGAAGATATCCAACAGATGAGAACTCACTACCTCATTCATTATTTCCATATAGGACTGGCTTGACACTTCCCAACTAGAATTTATCTTCCATAACTTAAGATACTGATTATTTCATATCCTACACCACAACACTTGAAGAATCATGGTTGCTTGCTGTGTGATACCATTTTGGGTTCTTGAAAAGTCCTATCATATTTCTCAAATATCCAGACATCTCAATCATCATTGTTGCCTTCTCTGCACTGTTTCAGTTTACTTTTCTTAAGATGTTTAATTAAACTCTACATCCTTCTAAAAATGTATTTGAGTGCCTGTTCCCTGTAATATGAGCAAATCTTCTTGAAGATTCCTTGGATATGGTCTATATCACCTTAAAACAGGAAACATTGGGGGGAGAGAATATTTTATTTTAATTTTAGAAGATCATTTTTCTATGTGCTCAAACATGACCTTTTCACAGACTCCCCCCCCCCCAGTTGTCAAACTCAGGGTGATTCTTTATTTCCATTTGTAGCTGCATGTAAAATTGTGTTTTTAAAAACTGCTGAAATTGTCAAGAAACCTATTTTTTCCCCTCAGGGCTCAGGTCAAAAAGTTATTTTTAAGCTTCCAGCCAAGTACTATTACTCAGAAAGTAAAGTTTTGAATGTAAACCATCTTCAACCTGGTATTTTTCAGATGGGTTGGATTTCCATACCCATAATCTAGATCCAGTAAGATCAAAGACTATGTTTATATGAGTTAAAGGCCAATACATCTGATAGGAACAATGTTTGGAAAAACTGTCAAAGAACAGAAAGAGAATCAAAATGGAATCATGTTTAGTATTTTAGATTAAGCCTAAAATGAACTACTTTATAATTAAATAAGCTTAAAGGGTGACTTTGGCTCAGGCAAAGTCTTAATCTCTTAATCAGGTTGGCATTTTTATTTGCTTCCTTAGGTCCTGCTCTGTAAGTGTTGGGAGTGCAACTGCCTATTTCTGAAATTATAATGAAAAGAGGACCCTAGTTATGTGATGCCTGCTCAGGGTGCCTGCTTGAATTCCTCAACCTTGTTGCTAACAATTTCCCCAACTACTGAGATGGGAGGGGTTGTTTTCTCCTCAACATTTGGCAGATGGTATAAGGACAACCATGGACTTGTCCCAAATAATTTCTGGCCTAATTTTCATCTCTAAGCAGTTGGCTTGTGATCTGAAAATGAAAGAGATTGCTTTAATGATTCTTTGCCGTAGTCAAATCACTACCTGATCTAGTTGAGGCACACCACACCTTATGACCCTAGGAAGGGATTGGGTGGGTTTTGAAAGTCTGTCTCAGACACCTTATGGATCTGAAAGAAATCCAGAGGGTCCTTGGGATTTTCCAGTAATTGGGTAGGATTTATTGCCTCAAAATAGCCTTTCATTTATCAAAAATGAGCCATTTCTATATTTGCATTGTTGATGTAATCTAAAATCTGAGAGTGGGATAAATGGTACCTAAATTTGACAAATAAATAAAATCAGGATAAATCAAAATGAATTTTGCCAACAAATTTATCATTAATAATGGTGTGTGATGATTGATTAAGCCCCTCCCCCTTTTATGTGGCATAATAGTAGATATTGGATTCTCAGATCGAGGTCTATCGTTTTCAGTATATTAAACAACAGAATGCCAAATTTCCCTATTTTTTTTACCCAACCACATTTATTACAATATTTGTTTATTACTCTGTTCTAAAGGTTTAAATGGAGAGAAGGTAGAAGCTTTCTACACTCAAATTATCCAGAAAAAAAATGTAAGTACAATAATGTTATTTTCTCTCCACTGGACCTTTGAGATCCTTTAACTATTACTCAAATTTACTTCCCATCCCAACTATCTTCATGGTTCACAGTTGCTATTAAATGAGGTAACTCATAGTAGACTCAGGGTGAAAGAGAGGGTTCTCCCCAAACCTAGTAAAGGACTAGAAGCACCATTTCAAAGCAATTTCAGCCCCATACCCCAACCCAATTTAGTGTAATCCTTTCATTTTAAGAAGTCATTTGGAGGAATGAGTATGCTCCAATAAGAGTGGGATGTGGTTTGAAGCCCCATGTGTTTCAGTTTCCTTTTGTACACATTTGTCTGGATTGATTTCTGGTTGTGTATTGGTAAGTTTAGATCAAATAATGACAATATTTAAATCAAACAGAATGGTAGAATTCCACTTACATCCAAAGAATCTTCATTCACGAAGATGAGACTCATACTCTGGGAAAGAAGCCTGCAGGAGTACCCTAGAGAAATAATCAACATACAATGGGTGGTATCAGAAAATATAATCAAGGGACTCATAAAAAACTATCCTGCATCTTCTTCAGTCATTCTATCATCATGAGCGAAAGAACAGAGTTGGGCTAGAAAGCCCAAATTCGCAATCAATCTCCTTTCCTTTATTGGCACATTTTCCTGAGTTGGGAGGCCAGCCCCGAAACTTTCCTTTGTGCAAGTTTAATATATAACTATGAATCCTAATGAACTTTTCTAAATTGTGTAAGAATTTGCAGAGAATCTGAGAATAACAGAATGTACAAGGACTTCCCAGCATGACCCTTATGACACTTTTAATTGTGTGCAAGGAAAAAACATGCCCAGTGTGGTATGAGATCAAAATCTATTTAAAAAGAGCTGTGCTGAATCACATTATAGCCTTCCCTATATTAGCATCCACCAGCTAACATAAAAGTCTGGAAATTGCTCAGTCCCAAAGCACCTGAAGAGTACTGGGTTGAGGAAGCCTGGACTATGTAATACATCACTTGATTTCCACAATGGCTAGTTAGATGCTTCTATAATGGTGCCTCTGCAATAAAGTTTAAGGATGGCAAAATAAAAACATGTGGTGACATCATCATGCAAAGCATTTTTCATCATTTCTCCGATCACTACTGAACCTAAGAAAAATAACAAGGCCTGCTTTGCCCATCAAGCTGACACAGGTTGCAAGTTATTTGCTTACTGTATTTGTGTTTGGCTTAAAGTGTTATGTAAACTAAGGCACTTTGATTTGTAAGCTATAGTTTATGGCTTAGCCTGTTAAGCAAGCTCAGCCAGCTACGTTTTATTAAATAAATCATGGTTTTATTTACTTATGTAATTTAGAGGCTGTCCATCTCCTATTGTGTACTGTATTGCACTGCACTGCACTGTATTGCATTGTATTTACTGTATATAAAATTTAGTGACTGTCCATCTCCTTCACAGAGTGACTCCAGGCCTCCAGATTACAATTTAAAAAGTAAGAAAAAGTAAGGAAAGGGAAAGAAATAAAACAAGAGCGATTTGAAGATAAATATTGGAACAAACAAACCAACAACAACAACAAAATCCAACAGGGGCTCAAAACACCATCCTGTCCCAAAGCTCAATAACCAGGTCTTTAATAGTTTCCAGCATGTCATCAGGGTAAGAGCCATCTGGATAACTTGGAGATCTAATTTCAGAGGGTAGGTGCAATGACAGAGAAGATATACTTCTCTGGTCCCGTTAAATGACATTGCTTAACCATCCACTTTGTCCAATTCCAGTAGTTGAATAGAGACAGATGGAAAAAGACTCTAATTCTCAAGGCGTAGTATGAGCCTGGCATAAAGAGAATATAGCAATGAAGTCAAGATACCAAAAAGCAATTAATTCAACTCTTTGTGGGAGAACTAGACAACTGTGACCCATTGTCTCATTGTCTCAACAGATATTTCTTTACCTAAACAGAGAAACAGAATGGCCAAGGCAAAAATTCAGTGGAAGTGTCTTCTGACTTCCTGCTGGCTTGTCTGTGGCTGACCACCCTTGTGGGATTGGTCTACTTGGCCTCCAGAGCGCTAGGGCAGGACCAGTCTAATGAACCTCTAGGCAGTGTGGCAGCACTGAACAACTATAAATTTGACAAATTTCAATCCCATGAAATGCAGGGTCCATGAGAGTTTTAGTTGTTCATAGATAGTCTATTGCAACAGAGGAGCTCTTTGTTCTATGTGCATACTGATGTCTAAGAAAGTCCAAATCACGTTAGTCTAATTTGGCTTGCTGGCTTTGGCTTAAGGTAATTTGTAAAACCAGCCACTATAGTTTTTAAAACATGCATAACTGCTTATGTTGTTGGTGAATCAGGTCCCCGGGATTTGTTGTTTGTTGATTTCCTCAGCAAGAAAAAGTACAAAAAAGTATACGATATTCACAATGAAGAATAATAACATAAACAAATATAAATTATTAGATTAAATCTGAATAAAACTGAATAAAATTTGGGGGAGGATTAAAGTTTATCATCAAGAATGAAAACCAACTATAGAAAAATGCAGTGAGTTTCTATAAGGTCTCTCTAAAGACCTGTACACTGAACAATTTCATAATGCTGGAATGAGGTCTGGCATGCCAAATTATGTTTTTAAAAATTCTTTGAGAAATAACAGCTTTAAGGATTATTCATCAAGTGAGACCTGGTTTTTCCCCTGGGAATGACTGTGGACCTAAACTGTTACAAATTTGGTATAACTAATTGAAAGGGATTTTCTGGTAGTTTTTGATTGGAACAACAGCTGCAGCAGCGAGCAGTAATTTCTAAGCTTCTTCTTGCTGTTTTATTTTACATCTTTCATATCATGCAAGACGCCATTTGACAAGTGGAACTGGAGAATAGCAATGCACATTCTACTGAATTCCTCAGTAATCAGCAAGAGCTCATATTAAATTATGCAAGGAGATTTGCATCGAGATTGATTTCTTACTCAAACACATACATGCGCTTCCCTTGGAAATGTAAAGGGAAAACAACCTGTGATAATATTAAACTATTTACAGGAAAAGGCAGAAATGTCTGTCTCCTATCTATCTATCTATCTATCTATCTATCTATCTATCTATCTATCTATCTATCTATCTATCTATACATACATACATACATACATACATACATACATACATACATGCATGCATACACCTACCTACCTACCTACGTCCTATCGGAATTAGGCAACAGTTTATATGAGAGGAACGTACATTCACAGTCAAACAAAAATCTATCTCAAGCAGACAAAATGTGATATTTCTCCCTCCCATTGCATAACTGGGCCTCAAGCCTAGGAGTAAATCCTCAGGCTTTGCCATCTTAAGAACAGTACTGAACATCCTTCTTGATTTGTTTTAGCTTCTGAATGTATTTTTACATTTTTCACTACTGTGGAAAGCAAGAAAACCCATATGATTTACTGACATTTCATTTAAAATGTTATTTCTAAGGAGGCTATTCTAGTTTTAAGTGTAAATAATAGGACCTACTGGCTATTTAAACTCAACTTAACGCAAGTGAAGTCATAGAATACCAGGGCTTTGTCGTTAAAAGCCTTCATTAAATTATACTTGAGATCCTGACCTTAGCATGTATTGTCTTTGGGATCACAAAAGTTAAAAGCACTTGGTGCAAAAGCACCTGGAATTGAACAGAACAGTGAAAACTAAACTCCAGAAAGAGTACACAATTGGAGCTATGCAATTGCAGCTTAAATTAACTTTGCAATAAGCTCCCCCTGAAACTTTTGAAAGAAGTTAAAACTACCGGTACCCTTTAATAATAAAACCCATTAGGAATAAATATCAGAGGGATTCTATGAAAGAATGAACTTAAATAAACAGGTCTGGAGATGTCCCAACTTTTTAACAAAACTTTCTTTGAATACTTTGGATACAGCACTGATGAATGTGTTAAGGACTCTGTTTCCTGCCTGTATTACTAACTGGCCAAGTAACCTGGCTGCTATATATACTATATATTTATTTTTAGATTTTTTATTGTTTTAAAATGTTCCTAGTGTTTTAATTGTGATATATTTTTTGAACTGTAAGCCGCCCAGAGTCACTGACTAAGATGGGCAGCTGTAGAAATCAATCAACTAATCATTCAAATAAAGAAATAAATAAAGCCTGAGCAGAAGAGCTGGAACTGAAAAGCAAGAGGGCAATTGCAAAATCATAGATTGTTGATATAACACTGGAATAAAATATATTAATTAATATGAAAATAGTAAGAAGGGGGTATTAAGCACAATTTAAACATTTAGAAATTAGCTAATATTCTGTTTGAATTTCATGTACAACTGTCATTGGGGATTGATTTTTAAAATTAAATTCAGGATGCTATATAATTGTTGGGTTTTAGTTACTATTTAGTCTATATGTCGGAATGAAAGTGGCTACATTTTATTGAGGAAAAGTGATTTAACCACAGAAACTTTAAGGTTTTAATGATTTTGTGATATTATCCTTTTGGGTTTATACACTATTTACAGGCATTGAATCATAGCCCATTTATTATTTTTATATATATGAAATTGCTCACAATTGCTCCTTCCATCCTATTTTGACTGATTCTCTCTGCCCCATTTACTATAGCTCCATTAAAAGAAAAACTTTTGATTCATACCATACATTTGGCAATTTGCATTGATGCTATTGCAATAATTATTTCGTTAGATTTTTTTTAAAAAAGCATGTTATGTAGAGTATTGTTATGTATACCCTTATTATCCATTAAAGTAATATAATGTAACATAATTAATATATATATATATATATATATATATATATATATATATATATATATACACAAGAAATTAGAATCAATCAAATTGATTGCATTAATAACATTCCTTGGAATTATGGATACAATTATTTGTCTTAAGTAATTCCAGGAATTTTCCAATTATTCCACTGATTGACTGTCTCCTACAGAGTTCCAACAGGTCAGATTACTTGCCAAAGCGGTAATATTTTATTTATACCAAGATCTACAATTTTTATCTGGTGGCATTTGCAAAGGACAACTTCACTGGGAAAATTGATGGGTTGTTACCTATATTGAGAGCAGTTTCTTGTTTGTCCCCCGTTAGTACCCAAATCTTGATCTCTGCTTTTATTAGAGTAGATATCGTTTCCGGGACCCCAGCTTGAAGGCGATCCTCAATTGCTGTTGCACCCAGAAGCAGCAATTCCTGAAGAAGAAAGAAATGGGTGATGCTCAAAAGTAAAAATAATGACAGCAAGTTGTGTCTTGCTTTTTTTGTTGCTGACAAACCAATGTAGTTGGTGTACATATAGCATAAAACTAGTCATTTCAGAAATCATCAAAATAGCACACACTTTGGCTAAAAGAAATAATAGTAATCGCAACTTTAAAAAAATCAGCAGTGGAGGAAAGCCTGCAGAATTACCATGTCAAGTGAGAATTAAATGAAATGGTTACTTGACATTTCCCCCCAGTCTTGCCCTTAATCACTTTAATACACACATACATATAAATACCTATTCCATACACACAGAGACAAACATGTATACATATAAATATTAATCACTGCCATTTTGAATACACAGTGGAAAGAGGAAACTTGAGATTTTATATAGGGGCTATATTAGGCATCATAACATCCTTAGGAGGATCAAGGAGGGCAAATGATAAAATGAGCGTCACAATGTCAATAGATTTAAATCCTAGATTTAAGTCCTATACAATGCTGTACAGTTGCAATATTCTGTAATAGTTGGTCATCGTTAGGGTTTCTTATATCTGCAACAAAAGCAAGTTATCTATCCAATCATGGCCTAGTTCTTGCACTGTTAGCTCCTTTACTATTGAGTTCTAGGTAGAAATTCATTCCCATGTCCCAGCTAAAACTCTGACACTGAAAGGTGTCCCAAAATCAGGAATTCATAGCCTCTAAAGCAGGGCTTTTCAACCAGTAGCACAGGTATCACCTGTGGTACATTAGCACCTGGCAGGTGGTACGTGACCATCCTAGAAAAGTGGTAGCGGGGGAGGGGAATGACCTGAACTGGTGGCAGCACTGCACAAGCCTGAGCGAGAGATGGCTGGAGCTGCAGGGTTGTCAGGGCTCAGCGGAAGCACCAGGATCAGCACTTCTTTGGGACTGTCAGGGTTCAGTGGAAGCACCAGGATCAGCACCAGGCTCCAGCTATAGCTCAGTGATGATCCTGGTGCTTCTGCTGAGCCCTGAAGAAGCATCAATCACCTGGAAAGCAGCACAGATCCTGGCGCTTCTGCTGAGCCCAGAAGAAGCACCGATCATCTGGAATGTTGCAGCATCTCCAGGGTCTTGTGATTTACATTCTGATGCTTGGCAACTGATTCATATTTATGGTCACAGTGTCCCGGGGTCATGTGAAGTGACCAAAACCTGCTGAAACTGCCCAGCAGATGGGGGGAATAAAAAACAAACACTCTCCCCACCCCACCCCCACTGCCAATCCTCAACAGAAATGCTCACAACAATGAAAACCTTGGACAGGAGGAAGAGCGCTGCCAGGCGGGCAGGCAGGTGTCTTGCTCGGTTGTGGCTTGGGGTTCACTTTTTTCAGTGCCATTGTAACTTTGAACAGTCACTAAGCAAACTGTTGTAAGTCGAGGACTATCTGTACTTTATCACTTTTTTCCTTTTTTTTTTTTTTTGGTCATCAAGTTTTTGACACCTTGCTAGGCGCCTGGTGGTACTCGGATGTTGCCATATCCTAAAAGTGGTACAATGGGTGAAAAGGTTGAAAAGTCCTGCTCTAAAGGAGTCTCTTGGAGGCTAGCAAAGAAAGGCGGGGGCTGAACTAAGCTTCAGACTCCCTCCTTGGCAGATATCATCTTCCTATTTCAGAAAGGAAAATCTGACTGCATATATTTCCTGGCTCTGTTTCAAGAGCTGTAGGATTGGGGCCTAAAATGACTAGTTTCCATCCGTTTTCCAGAAGCTTGATTTCTAAAAGAGGTTTAGAAGCACTCTTTTTATAGCAAGTTCTGGTGGCGTTCTAAATCAGCACAGTAGAACTATACTATTGATACAACCATGTAGACAGCTGCGTAGGAGTTAACGGGTTGTGATTCTTCACTGAGTTTGCCCTTATTAAGTTAAATGTGCTCTCATGCACATATAGTAATTTGTGTATTGTTAGCTTTCAGCCAATGAATGATATTATTTATGTATCTATTGCAATACATGTGCATTCATGAGTTACAAATGAGCTCCAACTTGAACCTTGCTCCATGTTTAGGGTGGAGGCCATAGCTGTCTATAAATATCATTTGCCAAAAGCTGTTAAAATAGCTGAAAATTTGAAAAACAAAGAACAGAACATAATGTTTTCATAAAGAGAAATTTTATACATTCAGTCACTACATGGTGTTTTCTAGAAGAGGAATGGTTAAGTTACAAACCAAGCATATAAGCCAAATATTCATTTAAGAGTTGTTTAGTGTACTTTGAACGTTATGCTGTAAAAATTAAAAAAAAAAAAACACTTTTAAACATATGTTCCAGGACAACTATCTTTTGATTTAATATTTTTAAGGCCTAAATTAAACCAAATGTTAAGCCATAGAAATGGAAAACTTTTGAGCAGTTGATCTAAGTGTGAAAAACTAGTTAACTTTAGAAAACATGGTATTAGGAAAAATCATAAGGGAATCCAATTTTTTTTATCCATTTGTTTATCTTATAAAAAAATACACTCATCCATGTTGGTCACATTCTTTACTAGACAAATTCTAATACAATAGGAAAGGACAGAGATGGGTTACTGTCATATTTTAGTTCATTTTTCAGGACACTATCGTGGATCAGATTGTCATTTTCATCCCAGGCTACAAAGTCTGAGATGAAAAGGTCCTGAATTATGAAACTCCAAAGAACATGAAATTGATCTTGTTGCTTCCCTTCAAGCTGTGATCCTTTTTTCCAAAACATGGCAAGTTCGTTCCAGGATTTCTAAAAGTGCAATTTTATATGGAAGCTGAAAATCATCAAAATTTCCCATTAGCCAAATTGTCTTATTCAAACTGACTTATTTATTGAACAAATTTATAATGTATGACTCTTGACAGTGTGCATCAATAAAAACCCTGAATAAGCCAAGCCAAAGAAAAATGATAGAAAAGACAATTTAAAAACCACATTTGTATACAAGCGCATAATCAAGGCTGAGTAACATTCACACTCCCAGCAGGAAGGTGCAGTTACCATCCTGGACCAATTCATAGGAGAAAAAAAACAGATCTTCATAGCTCTATAAAAGAGGATCTGCAAAAAAAAAAAAAAAAAAAACCCTAATAAAATCAGGCCTGCCTGGGAATGGGGAGGAAGGGGTTCATCCCAAAGGGTGATAACCAACTATATGCTTTTCTCCTAGATCCAATTAGATGATATGGGGACAAAGATGGGACCAGGAGCATGCTTATTCTTCACAAAATAGTAGGGTAGACAGAAATAATTATAATAAAGTTTCGCAATATAAAGCTATGAATTGCACAAGGTGGTTAGCAGGAGCCCCAGTACAGCTTATGTTATATATGGGGGTACCAAAGTGCACCCTTCAATTACTCATATTGTTGCATTCTGGATGATTGCATATGCTGATGCAATAAGAGTGCAACAATACTCATACACTCTTTAAAAAAGTCTTTTAATCTTGCTTGGTCAGATTTTGTTCATCTTCTGTCATGTTTGCCATTTCATCTCCCACAATACCTCCAAAATGCAAGTGATTCTCCAGGATTCAAAGCAGCAAGATTTAATACCTGTATGATTTAATCCAAAGTAGCCACCACCAACTAATTTCAAGGAACAACTAAGATCTCAATCAAACCATACATGAGAGTCCCTGGACAACCCAAGCTCCTTCTGGGTCCATTACTTGTCTGTGGCGAACCAACTTAATATGTCCTGTGATGAAGGGCAGTCCTAAAGAACTCCAACCAGGAATGGCTGTCCATGATAGGGAAACAATAATAACAACCCCTCCCCAATTCCAGATAGCACCACCAATGCCTGAGATTAAAAAAAACAGCTGCAGTATGTGCTCTTATCCCTTGTGAGTTGGACATTCAATAGCCAGCATCAGGTCCATGGTTGCCATGATAGCCTTGAACTCCTGGGTAATTTATGACTCTGCTCACACCCAGGGAGGGCGGACTAAAGCCACCCAAGACCACCATCAACCCAGCCACAGCATCTGGCAATTCATGTAGAGAGACAGTTGCTCAGCAGAAATAGCAATAGTTGATCCAAAGTCTAACTTCAGAAACACTTGCATATTTTACATATGCAGAGGAGCTTCCAGATGACCAAAGCTACTACCTCTCCCTTTCCCAAAACCTGAAGGACTCATTTCCAAGATGGGCCTCTCCTGGCCCCAGTAATATATGATTAAATCATAAATGAGGCAGATCTGAGACTAATCCAGCAATGAATAGCAGCTGGAGATTGGGACCACCTAAAGCATGGCTCCTATGACACAAGCAAAGTCCAAGTTCCATTCAGCTGTATGCAGTGACTAGCAACTGATTGAATAACTTGGATAATACTCAAGGAGCTCCTAGATTTAAGTAACAAACAGCATTTTGGAGATACTCTTTTCCCAAGCAAATATAATAACCTTAGCTGTGTAAAACTTGGATTGGAATAGTACCCCATTTTAAACACTTTCTCTCCCAGACATTATTGTGCAACATCTGAGTAAAGGAGGGAGTACAAATTAAAATAAGCAAAATTATGTTTATTAACCTTCTCAATGATCTCATAACACTCTTCCAACTTTTGAGTTCTGTCTTTCAAATTCGTGCTGGCTTCGTTATATACATCCAGCCATTCCTGGTAAGAGTTTTCTGATAGATCTGCATAGGCAATGCACAAAGTCCTCAAACCTAGAAAAGGAAATACAGAAGTTCAACCCAAATATCTAGAGAGGTTAGGAATTTGGCTTAAACTTGAGAGAGAAAAACAATTATTAAGTAAATGAGCGAACTCAATGTACTCCAAAAACCCAAACTTCCTTCCCACACAGAAGCTGGTTTTCAAAATTATTAAAGTAATACATTTGAGATTATAAATTATACTCTCAGATGTATGTGATGCAAAAAACAAACAAACAAGGAATACAGGTAGTCCTTGTTTAGCAACTTAACTCAGTTGTTAAGTTGTTAAGTGAAACCACAACTGTGCTTATGATCTTACTTTGACTTTCCTTTGCTTTACAGACTTGCTAAGATTATAAAAGCAAGGGCAGGTCATAAAATTGTTTTTTTCATCCCCTGTGTAACTGAATAGTCAATAACGAGGCAGTTGCTAAATAAGGACTATCTGTATGGCTTTCCTAAGGAAAGAACATACAAAGCAGATTTAGGCCCATTATAATATTTGGTACTGCACCATGCAATTTTACTTTTTGAAATGTGAATGCCACAGTTGTTAAGCAAACCCATTGTAGGGGCTGGTTTTGGGAAATAAATGCTGGAAACTGGAAATAAATGCCACTTTCTGGTAAAACCATTATAAATTGTGGTCATGTCACTGTGGGCCACTGCAAAAAGCCATAAATGCAGGTCGGTTGCCAAGCACTCAAAATTTGGCCACATGACCGTGGGAAGGTAGCCACTGTAACTTCAAAACTGGGTTCTAAGTAGCTGTTGGGGAATCCATTGTAACTTAAAACAGTTACTAAATGAATGGTTGTATGTCAAGGACTACCTATATTATAAAATGAAACTGTAAGACAGAATATCCTGGTGTGAGATAAAAATATAGTTTCCCAGTTTCACTAGCTAGTTAGCGTTAGCCCTCAATTTTTTTTTTTTAATCATCACTTGCTATTTGCCTTGATCTCAAAGTAAATGACTAGCCACAATAATCTGGAGAACAGCCTCTTCCTTTTGGAATATGGACAACATGATTTTTATATGGTCAATGTCTGTATTCACTAAGGTGACCAACTTTTTTACAATGAGAAGGAGGACACAAATAAATTGAAGAAAAAAAAAGTGAGTCTAATGCGTGCGTGTGTGCCGTGTCATGTTTCGGTAAGAAGTAAACAAAGCACGGCGCACTCTCTCAAAACAATTCTCCTTTGCGGAGCGCGTACGTCTCATAATCGTGTCTCGCCGCACTGTACTGAGCCTTGACGAATCGTCATGTCAAATACAAATATGTCACATCACACGCAACGGATCGGATCGACGTTGATCGGATACGGAGATTTACAGATTTTAGTCTTCAAATATCAAAAAGGAGGACATGTAGGAGGACACTTTTCGAGAGAGGACAGAACTTACAAAAGGAGGACTGTCCTCCCTAAAGGAGGACGGTTGGTCACCTTAGTATTCACAAACATTGGTGTAATTATTTGTTTTCTATTGCCCATCAAGTATTAAAAATTGGGCAAGTTGCCATGTTAAACAGAAAGGATATATTATGAGCATGTAAGTGTTCCTAAAACAAAGAAAAAATAATTTTTTCAGGCACAAGGAGAGACAAGGCTCTTCCTGCAGTGCAGCACCATTAAACATTTACTACATAAGAGAGCACTCAGATCAATAACAGATTGATATAAAAGATTGATACCAGATAACAAAACTCACTGCTATAGCCACGGAGGTTGACTCTTAAAATAATCTAGGAAAAATATGGGCTGCACTGATATAGTTTGTTCTAAAAAAAAGTGTTTAAACATTTATAAAATGAGTATTACATGGACCATTTCTTCATCCATCAGCCTCATTATCAATTTCAGCCTTTCTGGCCCCCAAAGTTTAAGAGCATTAGCATCTGCTGAGACCTAATGGCTTGAGACATATCATGTCTATTGCATTGCTTTCCTCCAATAATCCATTCTTTTTCACACTTTAAATGAAGTCTCAATCCAGACAAAGTCTATTTTCAACAAGGTTTATTTCACCGCTGGCTTGAATAATATATGTAGGAATGAGCTAAGCTGCATTTCAAGATATCTTTTGCTTAGAGGCAAACACTAGTTTTAAAGGGCTGCAAATGTAATGAGTAACTATAACTTTCTTCAGCATTTTGTTTCCTTTGTCTTCCTATTATATTTTTGTCACACTAATTTTGCAACTTTATGAAATCTGGAATAGCAAAGACAATAGATGAGTTCAAGGCTATGATCTTAAGGATGGAAAGAGAGCTTGGTCACTTAGCTTGTCTCTATCCATTCCTTGCTTTTGTACTTTCTGAATCAATGTGCCAACTGATAGGCAATCATATTTTGATATTTGCAATTGGGAGAATTTTAAAATGTAGTTCTCTAGTTAAATATGGACATATCAGGGAAACAGTTCACATCAATATATGTATTTTGTGAATATAAAATGAACATCACATTTATATAAACCAGATTAAAATATATAAATGTGCATAATATTAGGAAAAGTGCACACAAAAGTATGCATATTGAGAAAACCTGCATATAAATGTGTATAAATTTAGGGTATGTGTTTAATATGTCAAATTGATTCAAAAGTTGAATGAATGAATGAATGGAAGATGGAGAAAGCTAAGCTTGACAAATGTGTGTTTCTAACAAGGATGTCTCAGTTATATCATATTCAGTTTTAGAAAAGCATGACTGGACAAAATATGTTTATTCTTAACTCTGAAATTTCCCAAGCTTTCCCATTTCATATATATTGAAACAGAATTTGTTTAGCTACAGAACAACACATTTTGATACTTAAGAAGAGCAATAATAAATCAATAAACAAATATTTAAAGTGCTACCAAATAAATAATTAAATAAACAAGTATTTACCTTCTGTGGCAAAATATTCAAGATGACATAGAGTTTGATCCATGTATTGTGAGTCTTTGGATAATCTCTCAAAAATGACATTATCCTGTCAACAAAAAAAGTATATAAATAATTTCCATAATGATGTCTGCATTCCTTTTTTAGACATATGTTCTGTCCATCTATAAGGGATAAAACCAGTGGTGGAATTCAGCCAGTTCGCACCAGTTTGGCAGAACCGGTAGCTAATTTTTTGTTGCCCAAGACAGAACAGGTTTCCAGAAGCGGTATCCACACAGAGAACCAGTTGTTCACATATTTGAATCCCACCACTGGATAAAACTAATCAGGCACAGATCAGTATATTCAGGGCTTTTTTTCTCATAGAAAGCTCAGAACGGAGTTCCGGCACCATTTTTGGATAGAACCTTATAGAGTAGGCAAAGCGGGTTGTATGACGTGTATGAGTTCCAGCACCTTTTTTTTTTTTTTAGAAAAAAAGCACTGAGTATATTTTACCTAATACAATTTTTGCCTAAATATGGATTTAAATTCTCTAATTCTTAAGATCAGGAAAAGAACAACCAAGAACCTATTAATTCAAAGGGCAGGAAGAAAAAGGCCTAAGATTTAAAACATGAGCTGACATATTAATGTAAGATTTGAGACCTCTGCTGTGAAGTAGGCTATGAGGTTTTTTTTTTCTTATATGCAACAAAACAATTTATCTAGCCATGATGAAGCTGTGAAGCTTCTTCTGCTGGTTATTATCTGGCTGCAAAGTTGAGGTTTCTGGAGAGTCACAATTTACCACCAGGTCCAATGAAAGTCTGACATTATCCATGACAGCAAAGGTGGTTCAGATTTTTAAAATGTCAAAAAATATGAAAATTATTCTTCATTGTAAAGAAGTAGCTCTTATGGATAGTAATAAATTATGAATACATTGTCCAGTCTACAGGAGTGGAGATATAATACAGGTAGTCCTGGACTTATGACAATTGAGCCCAAAAATTCTGTTGTTAAGTGAGACATTTGTTAAATGAGTTTTGCCCCATTTTATGACCTTTCTTGTCACAGTTCTTCAGAGAATCATTGCAGGTGTTAACTTAGTAACATGGTTGTTATGTGAATCTGGCTTCCCCATTGACTTTGCTTGTCAGAAGATCACAAAAGATGATCACATGATCCCAGGATACTGCAACTGTCATAAATATGAGTCAATTGCCAAGCGTCTGAATTTTGATCTCGTGACCATGAGGATTCAGCAATGGTTGTAAGTGTGAAAAACAGTCATAAGTCACTTTTTTCAGTGCCGTTGTAACTTCAAACAGTCATTAGACTGGGCAACCATTTGTCTGAAATGATATAGGCCAGGGTTTCCTGCCTGAGCAGGGGGTTAGACTAGAAGACCTCCAAGGTCCCTTCCAACTCTATTATTATTACTTTTACTACTACTATTACTACTACTATTACTACTACTACTACTACAATTGTAAGTTATGGATTACTTGTACAGTGTTTTTCCAAATCATTAACTGACACTACTTAAGCCAGGGGTTCTCAACATGTGGTCCACAGACCTCTGGGGGCTGCGATGTTATCAAAGGGAGTCCGCGAAGCCTCCAAGAAAGGATTTGTGATTTAAATCCGAATTAAGTCTTGATGGTCCATGGCCAAAAAAGGTATTTAAAGAGGGTCCGTGGTGAAGAAAAGGTTGAGAACCATTGACTTAAGCCATTTTTCCCAGTTACTTCTTTCCAGATATTTTGGTTCCAACATCCCAAACTTCCACACTATATGGCTACTGAAATTTTTGAGACATAAGGAATGCACAATTTTCAGTATCGGTACAAGTACTGTTGTCATTAATATTTACACATGCCAAAGTGTATGGGTTACCATCACACTATTGTTTTGTGAATAGGCAGGAGATACTTACAGCTCCTTTACAATACAAACGTAGATGACCTTCTGGAGTCCGAACGATTACAGACATTCTCTTTCGATTACTGAGAATAGGACAAACATTCATTGTGATTTTTAGAAGTCGTTGCTGTTGCTGCTAATATTTATTAAAGTAGCAACTAAGCTACTTAGTGGAAGATATTTATGGAATAATTTTGCTTGTATTTCATAAACACAAATTGACAGTAATTTAGTTAAATAGGTCTGAGATTTGAATAAGGATTAATTAATAATGTCACCAAGAAGCAGTAAAATAGGTTAGGAAATTCCAAAGTTGTAATAGTCCCAATGTATCTATAAAATATGTTGAGGAAGGTTGGCCTAATGACTAGCTTCACATAGTGTACCAAATTATGATTTACTTTGTTTAATAATGGCTTAGTCTGTTGTGTAAAGCCAGTTTTTGTGTTGGCCCTCCCAATCCAGACAGAGAATGAGGCAGATAAGCTAATACAAGTATTATTGTATGGCTAGATTAACAGAATCTTGAAAGTCTGAAGGTAGAAACTTTCCACTGCCATTTTTAACTGTCAGATTCTCTCTCTCTCTGTCTCTCTCTCTCTTTCTGAAAATTAAGCCACTGGAGGCTCCTTCTTCTCTTGTCTGATCATATCCTAGACAACATCTCCTTCCCTCATCCCCCAAAGTCATCCACACATTCCATAACATGTTATAATTTATACACCATAGTTTATGACTTAGTATGTATGTACCTAGCCAACTCTGATTTATTTAAAAAAAAAACCAAGACCATATATTATCTGTGATGTCAGCCTGAATGTACAGATTGATTGACTGATTGATTGATTGACTGATTGGGACCTTTGATTTAATCTTGGACACGTCTTGGCAGGTTTCTTAGCAGGGTTTTTCAGAAGTGGTTTGCCATTGCCTTCTTTCTAGGGTTTAGAGTGAATGACTGATCCAAGGTCACCCAGCTGGCTTTGTGCTTAAGGCGGAATTAGAACTCATGGTCTGCCAGTTTCTAACCTGATGCACCTTAACAACTACACCAAACTTGCTCTTAGATATATAGAATAGCAGAATATACCACAGCACAGTATAGCATAACATTGTGTATGTGTGTATATGTTGTGTGTGTCTGTTTGTGTGTGTGTTTAAAGCTTAATTGCAATTAGCTTAAATGCAATGTAAACAGTTCCTGTATCTAGTTTTAGGAATGTATTTTTTAAATTAAACCACAGCATACATACTGCAACTTTTGGAAGTGAGATTTGAAGAAAGGAAATAACAACTGAAAACTAAATAAAAAAAATCTCTATTTTTATACAGGCAAAAACTGTATCCAGAATCAGAAAGAAAGAAAACCCATATTTTTGAATGGTATAACAATGGGATGTTATACAATTATTGTACAACAGTGGGATGTGTGAACTACGTTTAGCATGTCATGTACAACTAACCAATTACGATTGAGTAAATAACCACTTAGCATACGATTAACATTTTAGTACATAAAAAGGGAATTTCATTGTTCCTATAATCTTCAAAAGATATTGTCATTTCAGCTCAGTTGTATGCCATATTTTCAGCAGCTGTCCTGACACAGTGTTTTTACAATGTTATTCCTTTTGTGGACATTACTATTTAATTCAAAACCATGTAACTCAAGTTGCAGTGCAGCTAGTCAGGTTTGACAGCAATGAACTATAAGGCTAAATGGCCAGTGATGCTGAAGTTTATGATTTACAGTATTGGATATTTCTGCCCTGCTTCCCAAGACTAATACAGTGAAAAGTGAAAGAGAAATGTTTTCAAAGGTTTGTGATACTGCCTCAATCACATTATCAACCTTTTTCCATTTGTCCATCTCCTTTTTCTTTTCCCTCTTTTGAGAAAGAAAGAAGGGAAAAGATTAGTCACAGAATTTCCAACGTGAAATGTAGGTCAATATTTAGTTTTACCCAATTGGCAGGGGGAACAGAACAAGATTTTTGCCTTGTATGGAACATCTGTCTCTAATTGCTGTAAAAATCAGAATTACTAAAAAAAAAAATCAGGAATAGCCTAGAACTATATTTCTAGCCACTGTATTTATCATCTATAACTATTCTTTAAAAAGTGAGTAATATTGGAAGAAGGGAGAGAGAAAATTGTTTCTGTGCTATTAATTTGTTCTGAAATTGTCCAAGTGAGGTTCAGTGAGACTGACAGACCGGTTATTTGCAGTAAGAAAATACCACATATACTGGCATATAAGCCAACCCTCAAATTTTTAACCAAAATACCATGAAAAACAAGCCACCTGTGGGTAAGCCAACCTGCATTTTTCATGATATTTTGGTTAAAAATTGACAGCTGGCTTATCCACGGAAGGGCTTATGTGCAAGTATTATTTGTTTATACATAAAATATGGATATTATATTTTTTAAAAGTATTGCTAAATATGCTCACAGATAAGTCAATCTGCAGATAAGAAAAAGATCATCTATTAGTTCTCAGTTCTGCCTATGAAAGGTAAATAGCCCATTTATGGAGGTCAAGTAGGATCCAATCCCCTGAAACCTCTCCCAGTCAGATCAGCTTATATTGCAGCCCTTAAAAGATTTCAGACCAACGACAATTCCAGTGAAATATAAAGTCAATAAATGAAAGAAATGAAACAAAGAAAATTTATTTTAATTACAGGACATTCCTAACTGTTTCCCTCCTTGTATTTCTTGTAATTGCTATTAAAAACCAATTACCTTGAAAATTCCAACACATTAAGGATCTCAAATGTCTCTTCTTTTCCTAGCTGGGATCATAACAGAATAAGATACACTTTAGTAAAAGAAAAACTAAAAATACACGAAGAACTGCAACGAAAGCATTGTTTTCAAACATCCATATCAAAAAAATGTGGAAATAGGTCCCTCTGCTGGGCATAACCATGTACTTATATTCTTAAGAACATGCCAAAAGGAATATTTTCTGTAACTCAACATGTTGCCATGCCAGAATTAAAAATGCTGTATTGAAAATTCCTTAAAATTCCTTAAAAGTTTTGTTCCCACATAAAGAAGGTAATGATTGTCTAACTTTTTCTCAGTGCATCTAAAAGTTTCTTTCACTTTTCTCTTGGTTGTGTTTTTGAGCTGTCTTTATTGTCAATGGTGGCTCAGGATGGCCCTGGTTGGCACTGTTTTATGTTTAATCCTCTCTGGCTGCCCAAAAGCCGAAGAGAAAACAGAATTCCCTCAAGATACTTTTCTTTTGGATTTTATGAGAACCTGAGAGGCTACTATTGGAGAGATTACAATACAATCCAAGGCAGGATATTCATGTATACACTTGGCCTTCTCAAAATTAATCAATATGACATTTGAAAGAAATGCTCAAGAAACATGGACGTAAATTCTTCACTCTTTTAGCCAAGCATGCCAGAAGCACCATTTGGTAAGATTTTATTATTTCATCTTCTCACCCTACAACTGGCAGGGTTAAAAAGAGTTTTCCATTCTGACTAAGAGTAGGATTACTTTGCTAATTAATCACTTAGATCAGTGTTTCTCAACTCTGGCAACTTTAAGATGTGTGGACTCTAGTTCCCAGAATTTCTCCAGAATTCCCCAGCCAGCTGAGGAATTCTGGGAGTTGAAGTCCAAGTCCACACATTTTTAAAGTTGCCACTGTTGAAAAATACCGAAATAGATGGATCTTGTCAGGTATATTTTGCCCTGATTGCCCTATTTCTGTGCCATATTTCCAGGATAGTCTTATAGAAGAATTTGGAAATAATCTCACAATGCTTCCTTCGCACACACTCTTACCGCATCAATGATAACAGAACGTGGTGTCCTCCCAGTGAAAACATAGCCAAGTTTTTTTGCTCCTTTGACTAAAGCTCCTTCATCTGAGGAGAAAAAAAGTTTCCCATTACAATTTTTTTTAAAAATAAACAATAAAAAGACAATGCAGATGTGCCTTTATGAAAACATCCCTCAATTCCCCAAATGGCTGCAGAAGATCTCCAAATTTCTCAGGAGCCCACTCGGATCAGAAGTTCTTCAACAGAAATCGGTCAGTAATGTTAGGAACCTTCTTTAAAAGGCAGCATGAGTTCCTTGCTGTCATCGTGTCTGCTATAGGTAGTCCTTTCATTTTTCATCAAGTGACAGGAGACTTGGGAATCCTTCAGGAAGTCCCACAGTCAGGATGTTTGCAGACAGAGGAGACAGCACTGACACAACCTAAGGTTCAGACAATGAGCCCCAGAAGACCCTCTACCTTCACAGTTTGGCAGAAATCTGAGATTTCAAAATCAAACTAGGTAATACCGTTAAGTCCTTTGTTTCAGAAATGGTGGAAATACTCCAATGTACAGTCTACTTGATTTATTTATTTTTAAAAACATTTCTGTACTGCCCCAATCATCACTCTTAGCAACTCTGAGCAAAATAGACAATACATTAAAATAGCCCAAAACTATCAAATAAAAAATGAATTCTTTCAACATCAGTTAAATACAATCCTAATATCATATTGCTTTAGAATATTTTAGAGGTAATATTGGGACAAGGAGGTAAAGCTAAGAAGAAGAAAAAAACTCAGGTGACCTTTCTCAGCCAATTCCAAACAGAAAGATAAAAATCACCACCACCACCACCACCACCACCATCACCATCATCATCATCATCTACCTCTTTCCAGCAAATGTGAAATCTCTCCAGACAAAAATTAGTGTAGTTTCTTTTGGGGGGTGGAGGACCAAGTTCAATAGAAGGAGTCACTTGGAACTATCTATTTCTCAGGCCTATTTTTCAGTGTACTTGTCTTGCCTCCTGTGTAATTCTCATGTTGCCACAGAACTGAACAATGTCCAGGAAAGCAAACATAGGCCTGCAGCTTTAGCTATAAAGAATATCATGTTAATCTCTACCTGCATTGACCACAATGTTCTTATTCCTAATATTAGACTGCAGGAAGTTCCTGGTCTCCATTCTAATAACTCTAAATCATAACTCTTGGCAACTTTAAGACTTGTGGATGGCAACTCTCAGAATTGCCTGCCCATGCTGGCTGAGGAATTTTGAGAATTGAAGTCCACAAATCTTAAAATTGCCAAGGTTGGATACTCCTGCTCTAGAAAATATATGCATGAATGTGGGTACAGTAAATATAAATTCAACACAATCTGTCTTGTGCCCTAGATTTCCTCAGTCCCTTTTCAATGGCTCTTTGTTTCAACAAAAGAGTCAGCAACTAACCTGGAGAGGAGGCCTGGTAAATGATTGTGTTTTCGTGTCTTTCTGGAACGACAGTGTGACACACAGCCAGCAAAGTGAGGAATTCTTTGATGTGCATAGATGTGGGCTGAAATGCAAGGGCCATGTTAGTCGAATGAATGTGACCTGTGACACTGTGAAAAAACTTCAATTTGCTGTTAGAGACAGAGAGCAAATAAAGTGGCTGGATGCTACTTCACCTCTGTTATTTTTCAAAATGATAATTATGTTATATAGCTTATTGGATTTCAGCCAAGTAAAAACCAATAAACTGTATAATGTAATTATCTAAGGTAAGAAGATAAGAAGAGCTTTGCCAGGTGAGATCAATCGTCCTCTTTGTTTCTTGTCTTGCCTTGCCTTCATTGTTCGTAAGACAAGAATATCACCTATCCTCCTGATACATGTCCTCAGCACAAGCTTGGTCTGCTAACACAAAGCAATCTACTTTTCCCAGCAAAGCCGGGCCTGGAGAGACATCCCATAATTTTCCTGCATTACAGTTAAATCAATTATTTAGTTTGTTTTTGTCTATGTTCACAATTTACAATAGATTCCATCATCCAATTTTCTGAGAACAATGAGGACAATTTTATCACATCAGCTCTTCTACAAAGCTGCTATTCACTCTTTGATGGACAATCAGCAGTGATGCTATATTTATTTTACTGCTGAATATAAAACCAAATGGTTTAAGCCATTATCTCAGAGTTATCTGTAAATACCAGCCATGGAAAGAGGGATGGATGGAAGATTCACTCATATGGAAATAATCCCCAAAAAGGGATGGGTCACATGGTTTCTCTCTAAGCTACCCAATAAGCACATTTAGTACAAGACACTAAGCCTGGCTTAAGGCAAATCATAGCTAGAGTACTTACACCCAGAGAGGGCATCAGATTATATAGCAAATCACTTTCTGGTCACCATCTCTATCAGCCAGAATCCCCGTCATATTTCCATCTGAACCTTTCCCCACTCTCTTGATTTTTTTAATTTCATTTCCCTGCACACTTAGGAAAGTGAAAACAAAGGAGCATTGAAAAACACCATTACTGCAGCCAGAGAAGCACCATTTGTAGCCATTCTGATTCTTGTTTCTAGGTCTGGAGACCAGAAGGAGAAGCTAATAGCATTACTTCAACGTAGAAGACACAAAGGCCACCGCCAAGGTAAACTGAGCTATTGTTGACTAAAACTGTAGTTGTGATAAAAGTACTTTTGATTAACCATAAGTTAATCCATGATTCTAGTTAGTATATATCACACTAGGGGGAACCATGGGATATGATGTGTGATGTGATCTAGATCATAGAGGAAGAATATTGAGGCCACAAATGAATAATTCATATCCAAATGTTTTATGAATGGGTCAATGACTGCAATAAAGATTTTAGCAATAATTCATGCAAAAATTCTGAAGAAAGGCCTTACATGATCAGTCTCTATGTTCTGCAGTAGCCTTGGATCATCAAATTCACAAGATTCACTAGTAGGAGGTGGAAGCTGGCTAAGAATATAATTAAAAAAGTGATAAGATTGCTGAATAGGTGCATTTCTATTAAATACATATATTATGGCATTGTAAATGATCAGTCTAATAATCAAATACTAGATACATTTATCTGCTTTTTATCAGAAGAGTATTTCCAATGACAATCAAGCTTTCCTAGTGACAGAGTCTTTTGTTTTCAGAGTTATATCCTATTTCACTCCACGGCATGTTTCATTGCGTATATTTCTTTATTTATCTACTGCTTTCCAGTTAGGATGAACTCAAACCTCTATTTTATTTTATTCATTTTATTAAGAAAATTTATACGGCCACCCAACTTACTCTCTTAGCCAGGATGGGGGATTCTGAGAATTGAATTTAACACGTCAGAAGTCCTTCAGCCAGGAGAGGATGTCATAAAAGAATACAAGTCCTCTTTTTTTCTCCAAGGCTCCTCCTGTATGTGCGGTATGTTTTCCTATTGTTCAACCTCCCAAAGCCCCCAAGAGCAGTACGTCTCCCCAAAGTGCCTAATCCTGAGCCATCCTACAGGCCTACAGTTAAACAATTACACTTTACTAGTACCAAATATTTATTTACCTGAAATCTTCTGATGAACATTCTCTTGCCAGTTCTGGGAAGTGACTAAACAGGAAAAAAAATGAAATACAATTGATGGTATGTCTATCCTGATTATAAGACAATTATAATCACTCTCCAAAGATGCCTCTTCCATGCAAATGCAAGTGAATCAATTGTGGGGACTGCATTCAACATTCTATATAGAATTAAATCTTTCCTGCTGCCTAGAAATTGGACTAATGTTACAATTCTGTGCTTACTGGCTACATTTAATAGGACTTCTTTCCCAAAATGTCTGCTCAGAATTGCAGCCACAACATAGTTAGTTGTGACTATGACCACAATAAAGATTGGGAAATTCATCATTAAGCAATGTGATCATTAAATTAGGCATCCCACCTGATGGGTCATTAAGTGAATCATGGTGGTCATTAAGCAAGATATCATGTAACCATGACTTGTGACTTCCATTAATTTTGCTTGTTGGAAGCTGGCTAGGGCATTGCAAATGGTGAACATGTGACCATGGGATACTGCAACCATCATGCATGAGTGATGTTAAATTACCAAGTGCCCAAACCGTCATTAAAGGTTCCCGGGGAATACTGTGATGGTCAAAAGTGCAAGGACCAGTTGGAGGTCACTTTTTTCAAGCACCCTTGTGATTTTGAATGTTCACTAAACATTCGCTGTAGCTTAAGGACTACTTAAAATACATCCAGGAGAATTGAGGGGAGTTAAGATTCTGAAAATGCAGGAGTAACATCAACTCTCTACCTGGTGCACAATACATTAGCTAAAAACATGACCCTATGACTATGCAGTGTCACAGTATGCATACAAACCTAGTGGTACATTTTAGTTTTGCATATCATGTGGACTCAAACTGATTAATTTAGAAAACCATGAAGGCAGGTGTTAACCTATTGTATTAACATGATCAAAATAGTCTCTGTTGCCTATCTTTGCACATCTAACAAAAGAAAAACAATCCTATGCCATCAAAATTTATTTACATTATATTGCTTCAAACTGTATTCTATGTTTGTATCTCCATCTAATAATACATCCAGGTTGACAATTTTGGAACCTCTGAGGCAATTAGACATCCTAATTTTAACAAATGGTGAGCTACTTCAGTTTGCGTCCATCTTATTGTTCTTTGCTGGGGGTGGGTAGATTTTGCTACTTTAAACTATGAAATTGTTGGTCTTTTATTTCCAAAATTAACAATGTTGTAAGTAAAATTAAAACCATTAGAAAATTATAGAGTTACACAAGCAATGTAAGATAATATCAATATAATAAAAATGACTCCTTAAGCTTACAAATGGTACATACCCATATGTTACTCCAGCAATACTACATTTCTTAAAATTCATAATATTGCATGTTAAGGTGCCTGTTTTATCAGAGAACAGATATTTAACCTAGGAGAGAAATGATATATACTATTATGAATAAAACAAAATAGAGAATCTTTGAAAATACTGGAAATTAAAGCAGTTCTAAAGTGTATTCTCAAAGTGTTCACTGGAGCCCTGAGATAAATGGACAAACATACAATGAGGCCTGATTCATTTAAGTACTGTTTAACACACTCTTTCCCAAACAGGTGTTTCCGATCTGTCAAGTATCCAAATTCCATAATTCCCTGCCAGATTGGCTGATCCTGGGAAATGTCTATCAATACATATCAATACATTCCAAATACACATTGGGAAAGCCTTAGTGACTAGTTCTTCAACTAAATGTGCACTTAAGCAATCTATTGCAAAATGTACAGCAATTTATCTTAGCCAAGAGCTCAGTATACAACTGTACAGCACCAGATTTTGAACTAAATATACGGTCTAACGGATAAGAACAAAGACTCTCTTGTTAGGTTACTGAATGAGAATCAAGAAAGGCCCAGGTTTTAAATTGAACCTCCAGAAGTTTTTGTCTCACAGGAATTCTGTGAGAATTAAAGCTGAATCAATTATTCAGTCTGTTTTTGTCTTTCTATGTTCACAAACTTGAATTTTGAAGATAAAAATAAAACGTAAATATATTATTTTTGTGAAATGAATTAAAATAACAGGTATAAGAAATCATATAAAATAGATTCCCTGAAAATGCCACATGAATGAGTAGGTCTTATTCAAATTAGTAGTAAGTTTCCTGTATAAAGAATCTTAAGTAGACTTAAATCCAATTAACATTCTTATAGTCAGTAATTTCACTAATTTACTAAGCTACCTGAAAACAAATCCAGTTCTCATTAGCTGAGCGTCTACCAAAATATGTGATGAGGGGTACTACGTATAGCTTAACCACATAACTGGCATGGCCCAATAAAATGAATTAATGAAAAATTTAGTCCAATGGGAATTGGAGAACCACAGATTTTCCCACTCTTGATTATAGGTTGTGGCTGGATCATCTTACAGATTGCCATTAAAAATCAGATGCCTGCAAATTCATCTCAAACTGATTCACAGATTTAATATATGGAATGACAGTCTCTTTTTGTTATGATGCCATCCCATATCCTTACCTGGCCAAGTTCCTCATTAAGATTTGAAGTTCTGGCCATTGCAGGTGTATCATTTTCAGTATAATACATATCTATGTCCTGAAAACAAGCAAAAAAAAACCCTTATTCATTGTATGCTAGTTTTATATTGTTCTGTTTATATGTACTAGTTTTTATTATTTTTAAACTTAGTCATTTTAGAAGAAAAAAGAGTGAACAAAAAAGCAAAAGAGAATAATTGGTACAAAAATACAGTAAGTGAACAAAGGGAATACCAAGAAGGTACAGCTGGTACTCAGCGTATTTTTGATTAGAAAGTAGAAAACACTGAAATCTCTTTCAATCAAGATTCCTGAAACCAAGACATTACTTCCCGACACCAAACTGAACTACAAAGTGTGATGGGTCAAATGACACATTTGATTTTTACACAACATGTAAATAACTATTATTGCTTGGTTATTTCAACCAATATTGGAATCACCTATGTGTAATTTCGGCGTATTTTAACCAGTTGCAACCTGGTCCAGTAAATTATAATTATCAGGAGAGACAGAAAGTTACCTGCCCCAGAAATCTGTAATTTATTTTGCATATGAGGAGCTTCATTATTAACCCTGAAAACTGTACTTATTTTTACACATAAAAAATCCTACTTCAGGCTCTCCTTGCAATTGAAGAATTACAATGGATAGGGAGATATAAGTGCCATATTTTTACAGATTTTACTACTATTAAAAGCCTAATAACCTAAAATTCGTCTCTCATTGTTATGCTGTTAAATTAAATTGCATCTAATTGTACATACCCAATTTATAAAAAGAGCCTGAGTAAACTTCACAACTTCCAGAGTCACCAGTAGACTGATGGGAATGAGGTTGTTGTACAAGATTATAAAGGTGAGCAGATTATATCCAAAATTGGTGGATAGGACTTCTGTGGGCCAAAACAGCACAGGCAGAGGAAAGAGTTAGAGAAAGAGAAGATACATTGACTACACACCTGATCAAGTTCAACATATGATTGTGTAATTCCCAAAGAAGTGGAACACACAGATTGGGAAATTGCTATCAATTCATGTAAAAAAAAATAATAACATTAAGAAACAAGATTTCTGAAATGACAAAGCTTTCACTATTGACCTTGCATTATGAATATGGTTTAACAATTTCATGTTAAGCTTTTTAATACATGGCTGCTAAGATCCAAAATCAGTAAAATACTTGTGTCTAATATTTGCATATTGCAATCAGGGCTGAACTGAACATCCTATCAATTACTTGAAATACCAAATAAACCAAGATGACAACTAAAATGGGACAATTTGGAGTGTATATCTCATTTCTGATTCAATTTATCCTGAGATTCAATTGTGTTCATGTTGACACAATATAAGGCAGTGGACTTCTAAAATACTTTGAAAACAGGTCCAAAGGTATTTGGGGGAGGGGAACAGAGAAAACCAAAATTAAGCTCAGAGAGAACAGTGGCACTGTAAAAATTAGAGTTTGTACCAACATTAGGAAGTTATATTAACCAACAAACACTACTATGTGTAGAGATTTGAAAGGGGAAGAATGATGAGAGTATTTTGAAATGCTAATCCATTCTTTTAAGGTGGCCAATTACACACTCAAAGGGACATAATATGCTTGGGTGCTTTTATATGTAAGTTGATGCTTTGGGTGCTTTTAAGTAGAAAAGTGAAATAAAATATTATCAATGCATACTGTATTTGGAAAGAATTATTGTAATCTGAATAGTAAGGAAAGCCTCTACTACTCAGTCAGTTGCCCAGGTACTGATGGAGAATTATAAAGCTTGTGTTGTTTTCCCATTTTGAACCAAACACAGGGCAAATGGTTCTTCACATAAAGGATGCCTTGAAACAATTTTCTTTGTTTAAAAAAAAAGGTACCCACCCTTATAACTATTTTTCACTCAAAAGATAAACCAATATCACTCCAATCAAAATTATTCAGTGAACATATAGAAGATCCTTCACCACTACCAATGGCACTCAAACAATACCAGTCTCTCCAGATATTTTCAGCATTCAGCACAAATGCTTGCAGCTTCAAAAGCTTCAAAAAAACATTTGTCTGAAATGATATCCGGTCTCCTGCTTGAGCAGGGGGTTGGACTAGAAGACCCCCAAGGTCCCTTCCAACTGTTATTCTGCTCCATGCAAAAGGTTGAAAAATTACATGCAGGCCACTAGACTGTTTTATGAAGCTTGGCCATCTGTGGTTATCTGCAGATGATGACACAATCTGAGGAATTTTGTGGGTTGTTCAGTCTTTTCCAACTCACAAAATGCCTTTTTAAGGTGGTTTAATTTTACTATCCAGAGTGAGAAAATGTAGGACATGGAACAAGGAGAGAAGCTGGGGAGGATAATTTGTCTAATTCCAAATAAAAAAGAAGTATATAGGTTTATGGAAAGATGCAGAGACTTTAGCTGTAGCCCAAGAACTGTGAAGTATGCTTGTAGCTCAATGTTCTTAGCACAAAAAATGATGATATCTATAGGTTTATAACTGGCACAAAACTAATAGGCAAAGCTTTGCCCCCCCATATACCCAGAAGGTGTGACAGATTTAAGGCAAATGAAATAACTTTTTCACACAACACAGTTACATTGCAGAATTCACAATGGGATGCCAATTTAAAAGGAGTTTAAACCAATGTACTGAGGCTCAGATTACTATTAGCCACCGTGGCCTAAGTTTCCTTCACAATCAGAAGTAACCAATATCAGATGCTGAGAAGCTGTGTTGGGGGAGTGAATTTCAGTTAAAGGATATAATATACAGTAAGGTTCTTTCATTAAGCACAACATTAAGACTAGCTGGATTTTGGTTAGATGAACTGCAGGTGGGAAATGCAGATGTTACCAGATTTATCACTTTGGTCCTGCATGTATCGTTGCAAAGCAAATATGGCAGTTTGATTTTCTTTGATCTCTTTTCATGAAGTTGCTTGTCTGCCTCCTTTAAATCCATCTATCTTCTATATTTAAGAAATGTATTGCCCTTAACTCCCCTCTCCTCTTTTTTTTTTTTTTTTTTTTTGTTCCCCCTTTGGTCTAATTTTGGTAGATGTTTTCTTACCCAGAAAAAAAAGAGCACCTAGTCCCTGTTATGATGTTATGTTATGAATATTACACCTATTGAAGCTAGCCCAGCTAGCAGCAGCTCTATAGCTGATGAGACCCACTGTCTTTTTTTCCTAAAGTGATTGCATCCAGACAAAGAGTGACTGACCTGAAACAAGAGATGACAAGCAGAGCATACAATGAACAGAACCTATCACAACCAGTAAGACATTTTGTCTCATTACAGAAAAGGTATTCATTTATTGCTATTGTCTGCATCACAAAAGCTTACCATACGCTATTCAGTCTCACCATGAAATATAATCGGGAAGAGCTGCAAATCATTTTGTGTGGATTTTTTGTCCACATATTGGCATTTAAGACCCTGCTAACTCCTTTGTGTTAAATCTGAGGGAAGCTGGCCAAAGACCAGGATAGAAAGCCAAGAAATCACTGAGGGAAAGGAGAGAAGATATATTGCCCCTTTGTCAATAGCAAGAGATAGACAAGGGTGGAGGTACTGTGAAAGTCCATAGACTACTCTGAATAACTTATTTAAACTGGGTTTGTATCCACTTCTTTCCCTTGAAAAGGCAGTCAATGGCTCCAACGTTTCAACAAAACATTGAAACAGAGAATAAAATCATGAAAAAGAATGTAAACAATAAAAAAGGAAAATGAGTGTTAAAACAATTCAGAAAGCCAACTAAAACAGAGCTGCTTGTTATCATCCAGACTAAAGACAGACAAATGCTTTTCCTGTGCTTCACATATGCTTTTCCTGTGCTTCACACAGAAAAAAAAAATCCTTCCCTCCCCTCCCCCATATCCAACAAGCAGGAGCATCTTGAAAGGGGCCTCTCTTCCCATTCTTCATGACCATGGAATGGAAATGGTGGATGCTCAAATGGCAGGCCAAAGCCGCTGTGGCTTTAACGCTTAAGATTAATACCTTAAATTAAGCCTGAAAAACAAGGGACAGTCATTTTTTTCCAGCTGTATTGATATAATCATTAGACAGCAAATCATTAGACATTTTGCATTGATCAGAATTCATAGACAGTTTTCATGGGCAGCCACCTCAGCAATGCTGCTGAGTGGCTAATAGTAACTGATGAGGCTAGATCCCTTTCTCACAGAAGTAAATTTCAATAATGCCAAAAGGAAAGGTATTCCTCTCAGTCTGCTGCTGCTAATTCTGGCTTCCTGTGTGATCTAAAGTAAATAATCACAATACTTTTTTTGAACAAAAGCTAAACTTGAAAGGCTGACTTGCATAACCATCAACTATGGTTTTTTTGTGGATGGAATCTCGCTTATTTTTATTATGTGTTATTATCTGCATATTGTTTTGTTTTTCATGCTGCAAGCCACTCAGAGTTGACTATACCTAAGTCAAATAAATGAAATAAATTCTATACTGTTTGAATGCATAGCTTATAGCACGGGTGTCAAACTTGATCACGTCATGTGACATATCATGATGTATCGTGACATTTTTTGCCTTTGCAGAGCCGAGGTGGGCATGGCCCACCTCCAGCCCGGAGGTCACAGTTTGCTATCCCTGGCTTATAGGCTTCATTGTTTGTGCATTTTAGCCCACTTTGCAGCATTTGTGAAATTCAGGCACCTTCTTCTTTATCATTGTCCATTTAATTGCCTTTGGGAGGTGATTTCTGTCTATACAAAAACAATGTGGAATTTATTTATCAAACGTATATGTCACCCATCTCATTACTGAAGCAACTTTGGGCAGCTTATAAAATGATAATACATATAAATAAATATAAAAATAATTAAAATTCGAAAGAACTAAACAAAGACTAAATGCTCTAAAAATGGATTTTACCATGTGATCCTCTTCACATATTGAAATTCTCCACACATTTCTAATAGACATCAAGAAAACATTTGCTAAGGAAATATAGTGGAAGATACACTAATCTTTTAAGTGAAACTGACCTCTATAGTTGTATAGTTTATTGTTTTATTATTTATTTGTTGATTTCATGGGTTTTGTAAGGACCCACGGTAACTTAAGATAGACAGCCATACAAATGTTTTAAATAAATAATCTTAGCTACCTACTTACTGAACTCACAGAGTAGTTATTTGCATTCCCTGAATAAGGATCAGCTCAAAATACCACTCACCCATCCATCCTGACTTTTTAAATGTCTTTATGGCATATTATTTGTTTAGTATCTTAATGTACAGTACATCCCAGCTTCTCACCCATAAGAAAGCTGGCATGCTGCAAAATAAAGCATAAGCTTTCAGAATTTTTATTTCCAAAACTGCCCTTGAAGCCCACATAGGTCCAATCAACATTCTCATAAAAAAGATGAATGACTGCAGTCATATACTTGGGGAGCATGTAAGTAAGTTCCTCCTATCAAGGAAAAGGAAGCAAGTTTTCTAGGGGTTGGTAATCAGTGAGGAGGAGAAAACACGAATATGTGGCAGGGTACAACTTCATTATAGTCTGTCTGTTTTGGAAACTGTTTTATGACAAGTTCATATCCACTGAGAGCCAGCTTGGTGTGATGATTAAGGCAACAGGCTAGAAACTGGGAGACTGTGATTTCTAGTCCTATCTTAACACAAAGGCAACTGGGTATTTTGGACCAGTAGTTCTCGCTCAGCCCCAAAAAGGAAGCAATAGTAAGCTACTTCTGAAATCTTTCCAAGAAAACTATAGGGACTTGTCCAGACAATTGTCAGGAGTCAACATTGACTTATACACACACATATAGACTGCCCTGGTTGAGACAGTCTATTAGTACTGTGCACACCTTCATGAAAGCCACACCTTTCTGACAGCCATTTTGAAAACAGGACAGTTGCTTCTCACATGGTAGACATTTTCTGAAAGCATTAAAAATACCAACCGGGGCCTCTGTTTTATTTTGTTAATGAGATTCTCTCTCCTTCTTTCCAACTAATTGAAACTGGAAAACTGCTTCTATGCTGGCTGAAGCTATGTACCCTCTCATTCTTTTCTATTTTTTCTTAAATCAAGTAAGGGCTATCATGTTTCAGGCTTCTTCTATGCAATATCCCTACTACATTTCATATGAGAAGATAAAGCAGTATTATGCCAAAAGGAAATCAAACTCAACTCTGCTCTGACTGCACATGTAACTTTACACTCTGATCAAATTAGACAACCAACACAATGAGTGCAAGTGTTTTTCTTTGGCACAAATCCATAGCTAGTTCTTTCAGGCTAAAACACAGAACAATAAGAGAGATGCAATACACCAAATTGTAAATGAATAGGGTTTTGGAGATTCAGATCATGTTTACCATTTACATGTTTGGGAAAGTAAGGCAGCTGGTTTGCACTAAACTTCAGGTGCTTTTTGTAGGTGCATCAATCTGAAGAATCGTCACTTTCTTAAGCTGAAAATGATGTTTTTGGTTTCAAGATAAGAGCATATTTATGTACACCCAGTCTTTGCTCACCATTGGAATCAAAGTACCAAATGACTTCTCCATGTGTTCTGTTCCACAGTAAGGCACCCACAGAACTCACTAAAGCCATGATGAGAAGGATGCAAAACAAAATGAGAATCTGCATATTGGTAACTTTTTCTACATTTGTTCTCTTCAGTGGAGCTTTGGTTGAATTCTGGAAAGGATCAGCCACAGAATTGCAATGATTAATTGTGCTCACAAAAGGAATAATAAAAACAAGATGAAATTACAGCCAGACATTATGAAAGTTTTACATCCATCATTAAAAACCAAAGCGATGTTTCTCTTTATTCTTTCCTTCTATAATAGCTATCAATTTAAAACACAGAATGCCACCTGCTTTGCACTAGTAGCCCAGCCTTCTCCAATCCAGTGAGACTTCCAAATGTGTTGTACCAGATAGTTCAACACTTCTGGATAGCATCAAACTGGAGAAAGTTGAAACAGACATACCAAGAGAGAGAAGATTAGCTGTGTTTACACAACACACTTAACTAGACCTTCTGGTTGCATTTCCACAACTGCCAATCTAGGTTTGTTTTTTATTGCTTAGCTTGGACTGCAGAGTCAACCTGTTTGTGGTTCACTATGTATTGTGCCAATGTGGACAGCAGATTTACCAATTAAGCTTCTGGAATATAGTTCATGAGATGAGGGTGATTATACATCCCTGATGAATAGCAATCTGTAAGGAGTAGCTGAATGGGCAGAATCTCCCTTAAAGAAGCATAAGGACCTTGCTGTAATTGGAGACCAGTCCCTAATTATTTTAACATTTTAACTATAGCTTGCCATTTACTAGCCAATTTATTAAGACTACCTTTCTATAGCTCCGTGTGCACATACATACATGCACTCTGTACAAATATAGTTGCATTTTCTCCAAAAAGTTAAACACTGCAATCTTCTAATTTCTACAAACTTCACAATTACTACAGCTCAGTTTAAAAGACAAACAAACATGCAAGATTTACAATAGATCTGCCAACTGATGCAGGATTCCAGAAATTATTATGCCTAATATTACCATTTTTCAAGGCATAATTTCAAATGTTGCTTTTAACTTGGAAAATCCTACATGACCAAGAACTTCATTCTCTCGTTGTCTTGGTATAAATTTATGCATACATTAACATACGTAGGCAATGTCCTGTTAGAAATGATGTCACATTCTGACATCAATGTTCCTTCAAAACTCTGGAGTGCATTCCCTCAAGGCTTATTCACATGTTTTCTGATTTAGAAAAAGAAGTCAAGCTATTTCTCTTAAGCCAGATCTGATCAGTTTGAGTTGGTTTTAACACTGATATTTATTGTTTATTTATTGACATTTTTATTTTTTATGGTATGTTTTATTTTATTTTTTATTTTCATTAGCCTTAGATGCTATATAGGCAAAAAAGTACGATCTAAGTCTTAAAATACCCAAATAATTAAACTACAGAAATATACTTGAAATCATTGCTGGACTTGTTAAGACTTATAAACATGTTAAGACTTATAAACAGATCAAGAGATACTTACCTGCATAAGTTTTGTGTCATGTCCTGTATAGACAACTATTCCTAAAACCCACTGAGTGTTCCTTAGTTGTGCACCTCTTAGTAAAATCTGATCAGGTCCAATTGGAACTGGACTGATGATAAAGCAGAGAAAAAGTAAGCTAGAAGTTTACAGTATAATAAAAAACAAAATATAGGTTTTGTAGAGCAAGCAGTAAATGAAGTTGTAGCTATTTATTTTATTTATTATACAAATTTATATAGCCACCCAGGTGGCTATACAAATATAGGTTACTCTATATAAGTGGCGCCGGACAGCTTACAAACTTTTAAAAATCTACCATATAATAAAAATCCATTTAAAAAACCCATCTGACCCACCCCCAATGGCAGCAACACACAATCAAATCTATTCCTATCATTACTGCTAAAATATTGTTATTTCAAAAAGTTCTTTATGGCCTATTAAAAAAACCCTCTCATGATGACATGCAATTAAAATGCCAATAAAATCAACAAAAAACCCTAATACACAATAAATCAAATCAAATCAAAATCAAAAATTAAAAGCAGTATACTAAAAATGCCACAGAAATAAAATGCCATCAATTCAGCAGAAAGCAGTTAAAGTACAAAGCAAAAGGCCTAACAGGATCTATCATATTTTACCCATCATATTTCGTACTACTTGAAGTTTCCGGACTGTCTTAAAGTGTTATCATCAATATTTCATATTGACTCAATCAATTCATTCGGCATCATTCTGTCAAACACTAGGGATATACGTAGCAATTAGGATTCGAAGACGTAACTTTCTCTGGGTTTTATCTTATGTTTTTTTAATAGAAAATAACTTTCATTTGATAAAGAATTAAATTAACAATCTTCTTGTTCACACTGTTTGCCATACCCCATCACCAGATTTTATGCACAGGGGAATACAGCTACTTTTGAAAGAGGTCTGGTCATGCAAGTGTTTGGGGGTGGGTGGGGAAATATCAGTTGCTTTCATATCAACTGAATACCTTTGATTTTCAAGGCAAAGATTTCCAGTGAAATCATAGAGGTGACGATTAGGTCCTTCACACTCTATCTTCCCAGATATTTTCATCAAGTCTTCTTTTGATTGGAGGTTAGCAGTCTGAATCAATCCCTGTATAGAACCAAGCCATAGATATATCTGACAACATATCTATTCTCTTTCACAAATTAGGAACATATCTTCCTAGTGGAACCTATAGCCTACAGCTAGCTTCCAGTTTCTCTCAGCATGGACCACCTAGGATGATAAAAGGAAGCATTCCAACTCCCACAGAACTTCAGAATCCTCACCAGTATACAGAGCTCATACTCTGGCTTCTCTAAAGTCATTCCATCCTGATTCTATTCTGGCTAATAGAATGATATTTTTGCTCATGCTTGGCAAGAAACATATGAAACCAGATGAAAAAACCACTGTAAAAATATAAGAATGTTTCTGCTTTTCAATAAGAGCTAGAGATAAACTCTCTGAAAGCTCCTAAAAATGCCTCTACATACTGTGTCCCAAGCCACAAATGGTCCTAGGAAAAGAGGGAGAATATGTAGACTAATTCTGATTTCCCTCACTGCCAAGAAAGATTCTCAGTCTAAGCCAGGGGTGGGGGACCTTGGCTCTTTTATGACTTGTGGACTTCAACTCCCAGAATTCCTGAGCCAGCCATGCTGGCTCAGGAATTCTGGGAGTTGAAGTCCACAAGTCATAAAAGAGCCAAGGTTCCCCATCCCTGGTCTAAGCTATAGTTTAATAAAAGCCAATGCTCAACGAACAAAATTTTCATAAAATGCAAAGGTCCCAGACAAGATACATAATTCTGAATAATGTGGATCTAGAACAAAAGCATCTCTATAATTGCAATCTTGCAAAGATCTTCTAGAATGACTCCTCAATATGCCCCATACTCTGTTGTCTTAAAATGAACAAGTACCTCTAGATCAGCGTTTCTCAATCTTAGCAACTTGAAGCCGTGTGGAATGCAACTCCCAGAATTCCCCAGGCTGGCTGGAGAATTCTGTGAGTTGAAATCCAAACAACTTGAAGTCACCAAGAGTAAGAAATACTGGTCTAGATGCCTCTTTAAGGAAAAAAGAAGAAGCAATGTTCAGATCTCGATCTACAATCACATCATGCAGCTAATATTGCAAGAGAGCCCTAGCTATTTTCCAAGTTATCACTTCATCACATTCAAACACCAAAACAAAATTTAATATTACCTGTCGTATTTTAAGGTTCGTCTCTCCATCAAGATTAGATGTTTCAATATAACACATTGCCTGAGGTTCACTTTAAAAAAAAGTAACAAAACAATCATCTTTAAAGACAATCTTGAAAAAGAAAGGTGACCAGCTTTCCAGAATCATAATTTTATACCTGCTTTCCAGAACCCTTATTTTATTCAACTACTGATTTTATCCCCCAAATTATTATTATTTTTACCAAAAGTATTTAAATAATGAGACATTTTCTTTTTTTTAGTAGGCACATATTTTTAAAAATGTAGTTTATCAGAAAAAGCACTACCTCAACCGCATGCAAACTCTGGTGAACTGAGGCCTTTTATAAAGGAACATACTAAATAAAATACACCTGACGCTTTTAACACAAGGCTGTGTGGAGGGGGCTAAAGGAGGGGTTTACCCTAGCCCTTTATTTTAAAAAATAGTTGTATCAAATTTAACAGATTACTTTTTGGTTGTTTGGTCATTTCAACAACTCAGCCCTAACCGGCTTTTATAAAGTTCCGGTAAAATTACAGAATAATTGCATTTTCTTAAAAGAAGGGGACACTTGGTTATCAGTTCACAATGCAAAAATATGGATTTCCAGTTTTAATTTATTAGGTAGATCACTATGAACATTTTGTCATCTTTCAAACTTCTATAGCTCACATCCGGTACTAACCATGACCAGAAGTTTGTGGTATAAATATTACTTTCCTGAGGAAATTTCTACATCTTCTCATATTATATTACCATCAGAAAATACACTTGGTAAGTAAGAAAGGGTGTAGCTTTCTCTTACAAAGAAAGGTCTTTGTGTACAAAGAAAGGTCAAAATTTGATTAGGGAGGAACACTGAACTATAATGAAATCTATATTCCCGAATGAATAATAGATGATGAGAATTGTTGGAGATCCAGTCTGGTGTAGCAGTTAAGGCACCAGGTAGAAACCAGGAGACTGCGAGCTCTAGTTTGGCATTAGGTACAAAGTCAGCTAGGTGAACTTGGGCCAATCAGCCTCTCTCAACCCTAGGAAAGAGGCAATGGTACCTTATTCTTTTTATGCATATCTCATAATTCAATTATTGTTATTTATTTGTTATCATGAAATGTTTATGTAAATGTATATGGGCAGTCAAAGCTTTTTGTCTTGATATTAAGTGTACAGGTATTGTGTGTGTGTGTGTGTTTGTGCGTGTGTGTGTCTAGTTCAGAAACTTTTGAATCTTAAAAAGAGCAAGCATTTAAAATTTAAAGTAGAACAGTTTATTCCTATGAAGAAATCTGTGGGCACAATCCCTTGCATACCTCATGGCTGGACTATTTGGAGGAGGCAAACAGTTGTATTTTCTGATTAAGGAAAGACCTAAAAAGGTCATGGAACAATAATGTTCCCCACTAAAAGGCACCCACCAAGAGAAAGGAAATTCAGAGAAAATGGTAGAGAAGCAAATGTTTTCCTTAGAGCAGGGGTCCCCAACCCCCAGTCCATGGACCAGTTCCAGGCCGTGGCATGCCAGCAACCGGGCTGTACAAACAAGCAAAACTCCATCCACGAGATGCAGGCAGTATACAAAACCACACATCCTCCGGTCCACGGAAAAAATCTCTCTTCACGGAACCGGTCCCTGGTGTCCAAAAGGTTGGGGACTTCTGCCTTAGAGGAAGAAAAGTTTTAAAGTGACACAAGGCAAACAGGAAGACAGTTTTAAAGGAAGCTAGTTATTCTTTCAATCAGGGAGAGTTTTCAATTTCGATACTATTTAGACGTGTGGCATTAGCTAGTAAGGTCAGGAAATATTTGTTTTCTTTGCATGCTGCCCATTTCTGAAAGAACCTATCCATCTGGGCAAAAAATAAGGTAGAAATTATCTTTTGTTGGAAATGTTAGCTTTGTAAACATTCATATGCACTGTATCTCATTTAACAGAAGAAAATAATGTGGAAATTTTGCAATTCTATGATTTCACTATTGTAATATGTGTTGGAATATGTCAATGTTTTAAATTGGTACTATTAATTTTATGTATGTTTATATTCAATAGGCTGGTTACAAGAGGTTAAAATCAAATTAATAAACATTATCATTATTATTGAATGGTCCAAGAGAAGAGGTCATAGAACTAGGCTTTGTCAATGCCCGAATGGAAAATTGTTCAGAAATCTGCAGAATTTCACCCTAAAAATGGGGGGGGACAATTAAAATGCAAATGCTAATCTTCCTTCTCATTTGGCTAATACTTATTGAAATTAGCGTAGTGTACATCAACCTTTTGGGCCTTGTGTTGTAAATAATATAAAATGAAGTGAGGGAAGAGGAAGTAGAGTTTCATCCTGTACTTTACTGGATTTTTTAAAATTACAATGTGCTTTAAAACCTCAGTTCAACAGAAGCCCAAGTTGACATACGTTCCGGAGAGCTGACCTGGTCGATAAAATGATCATGTCTGCTGGGAGATGCTGCCCGTTGGTGACCTTCGCAAAGTCTGCCACTGCCACCTGGTGAGCAGCGGCAAGAGTGCAGCAGAAATAGGAAAAAGAGAAAAACAGAGAAAGCCCATCCTATGATTAGTTAGCTAATTACCAACAAAGGAAGAAAAGATCAGGTTGCTTACCTGAAACCGACGTTCTCTGAGTAGAATTCAAAGTGTGAATTCAAACTGATGAAGATCTGAGCCTGCACAGAACTGGTGTGTGACAAATCCTATTGTTTTTTTTTTTTATATGGCACAATACTACTGCCCTTAAGGCAGGGGTGTCAAACTCAATTTCATTGAGGGCTGCATCAGCATGGCAGTTGCCCTCAGAGGGCCAGGTGGATGTGGCCAGGATGGGTGCAGCCTACTGGGTGGGCGTGGATGGAGTGGGTGTGGCCTACTGGGTGGGCATGGCTAGCTCTACATCGTTCGCGTCAAGGGTGCCTGTGGGGGCTTAGGCAGGAGTGGGATAGATCTGAGGGTCTCTGACAGAAGGGGGTGGGACCAGGGCAAGTGCCAAGGCATGGTCCACTGGAGGAGCCTCACTGTTCCTCTCAGGGTGGGGGGGGCTGGATGGTGGTGCGGGCTGCCCAGCCTGGCCCTTGAGCACCCATGCACCAAGCCCAGCCCCACTTCCTCAAGGCTGCTGCTCAAGGTTCTCCTGGTTCCTTGCTGTTTCCAGACAGCCTTGTGGAGCTAAGACTGAATGAGTTTCAGCATAGATGGCCACCATAAAATTATACATTGGCTTCCAGCTGGCCTGGGCCTGGGCCAAGGCAGAGGGGGCCGTTCCCTCACTGTTTCCAGGATTGCTTCGCGGGCCACATGAAACCACTTTGCAGGCCGCATCCGGCCCCCGGGACTTGTGTTTGACATGTCTGCCTTAAGGCATCTGTTAATTTGCACCCCCGTTGAGACAAAAATCACCTTTGCACCCAAAACTTTCCCGTATTATTCATCTGATAAAATGCCACAACTGCATTATAGAGTTTTAATTCGGAGGCTGATCTGGTGAAATTTCAGCCTGTAGCTGGGCTGTGTCACTGGAACAAAAATGAGGCAGATTCCATGCAGGTAGCTTCTGACCTAGACACCAGGGATTCAGGGGTTGACCTGGGAGAGTGCCCTAAAATACAGCCACAGATAAAGAGGACCGAACAGCAGAGAACTGCGTGACTCCTTGAAAGTCGAGACAAATTCAGGAACACCCCTACTTTTTGACCTCCATTCCTCATTTTACAGTCCTCGTTTCACTGTTTCTTGCCTATTATGATAGAATGATGGTTTGGTTCAGAGCAGGGGCGTATTAGCCATTATAGAAAAAAATAAGCTGGGAAAATAGTGAGTGTGATTAACAACTCTGCCTTGTTTGGGTTAAATATAAGTTGAAGTAGAGGAAAGGTTTCACAAGTTTTTAGGAATGATATCAGTCCTTCAAGATAGGTAAAGTCAAAAAACAGGAACTGCCATTATTTTTAGAATGTACTTTTATGCAGTTAAAATATTGTTATTACAGAATATTGAAAGCACATCAAAGCCTTTGAAGAGAGTTGCTATTATAAGCCACAGACAAGAACACAGCCTTTTGTTGAATACAGATTTCTATCTAATTTATGTTTCTCAGTTTAAGTGTTATCTTGTACTCTGCTTCTATAAAGGACTGATTTATGACAACCATTAAAGCTTTGAAACTTGCAAATATCCTTTATCTGTATGTTTGCAGCCTAAAGAATAGGATAAACTGGCAAAAACTAATGCCATGTTTGTTTGGAAAACAGATTGGCCAGCAGGTAATTTTCTTGTTTGCTGATTGTAATCAGTACATCATGAATGGAGCTTGACTATTTATTTATTTATTAATAAAATTTATATGCCGCCCAATCCCTAGGGACTCAGGGCGGCGTACAAAATTAAAACAATAAATATAACAATAAAAATGAGTGCATTCATACAACATGTCCCAATCGTGTGTCCCCCCCCCCCCCCGGGGACATCAACCCCAGGCTGCCAGAACAGGAAAGTTTTAATGGTTTTCTTGAAGGCCGGCAATCCACTATGTGGATAACAGTCGATTTTTCAAATACTACAGAGTGCTCAATAAGAGAGGGGGGGAAAGCTTGAATAACACAACCCAAACACAATGTCCAAATGATGTCCTTCAAGCTAGCACCTTTATCACAAGTTTAAAAACACAAGGGTTTATTCAAGCAAGTAATATATGTCTAGAGTTTTCAAGTTTTCCACTACGCTCATTCTCATAGCTGCGGTTTCAGTTTCATAAGTTCCAAAACGGGATTTCTCATTAAAAACCTTTCCTATTTGTAAGACCACATCCTTCTACAGTTACTATGATGTTTTCAGGATGTTTGTAAGATTTTATTAAAGATGCGCATTTTTGTGCTTTGGATATAAAGTTTCAAGGCTTTTTTTCTGTTTTCCCTGGCCTGAATGGGAGAATCCTTACTGGAAAGTCATATTAGAAACTTAGCTTGACTAGTTACAGCAAACTGCAATTATCTTTTATTGAACAGAATTTCAAAGACATCCATCAGAGACATTTAAATTATATCCTCTCCCACTTTTTAACACTCTGCCAGAAATGTCTAGAGATGAACATTATGTGGAAGCCCGATTGCCAAACCTTGTCTCAGCAGGGCTATTGGCTGCTGCTCCTCTTTCTGAAACCAACCCAATAATAGGAGACAAAAGGCAATGAACAACAATAAAGGAAGGGTCGCATTCACAAAAGACTTTTCAAACAAATCTCAGCTACATGTAAATAATCAAATTCATCTTTGTTAGGATTTCTGGGATTAACTCTGATGGGAGAATTAGAAGATATACCTGGAGATGGACTGGTGACAAGAGATGGGTGTTGTTCCTAAGGTTCAACAGGCTGGTAATTATTCTGAATGAAGTTGAATATAAAGACTAGGGTTTTTTTAGAAAAAACAATGAATGGCATGGAGCGGAAGTTATGTTATCATCACCATTTGTGCGTGTGTGTTTATACATACACACACACACACACACACATCATGGTCACTATTATTTTTGTGTTTTGCTCTTGTTTATATTTTTGTTATTAATAAAAAGCAATAAAGCATACAGCTTGCTAGAACTCTGGGGAGAACTAAAGAGGCAGTTTCCCATGGTATTGCATAAAAGCTCATGTTTCCAGGGACTGAAGAGGTCTACTTATTAACACAGACAAAACAAAAGAAAAACTCCAGGCAGAGACTGGTGTCATTTTCAGGATTTGTGAGTTATGCATGCCTTTGAGAAAACATTTAATCTTCATGTGCATAGAGAAAGAGAGAGAGAAAATACCTGGATAAGATCTTGTGACATGGAGATAACTGACAAATCCATAACAAGTCCACAGAAGTGCAATACAAACAGATTTTAATTCAGTTAAATAAGATAACACATGAGTAAGGGAAGATCGAATTTCCAATGTTCAGCAAATTTTAAAATGTTTAGATTTTGATGCAGATCATTTGCACACTTAAGCCTTTTGGGATGCATCTAAAGTGCCTTTTCTGTCCTTTGGCTTTTGGAATTCATACCCTCCAAGGAGGAGGTTAAGATGCAACCATGGGTAAACCTTCCTCATTAGATAGAAAAGAGGGGTAAACCCAGTGCTTTTTTGAAGAAAAAAAAAAAAGGTGCCGGAACTCACACACATCATACAACCCGCCTTGCCTACCCTATAAGGTTCCATCCAAAAAAGGTGCCAGAACTCTGTTCTGGGCGTTCTATGATAAAAAAAGCCCTGGATAAACCATACTTAGTTTAACCACTATCACTATGGAATAGTGAGGATGGGAAGTGAGTTTAATGTCAAAAAGAAAAGAATGAATGGGAATAAATTAAGTGATGATCCCTTTCATGATAACTGAAAGTTACCTTGCAAGGATTCATGGCTAAAATCAGTTCTAATGAAAAACAGTGCACATTCAGCATTGGGTATGGACATTAACTGATAGAACATTTTCCTGCTCTTGGAACAAACAGAATCACTCCCCAAAACTCTATGAAAAAGAAAAGGTATGACTCTGGTCTTCCCTTCTGTTGATATGCCATATCCACTGAAGGCTTAAGGAACATCTTGACTACTTGGGAGTACTTTTAGAAACATACAAAGTTCTAGAACATTTATCTGTGGATTTTCTGTAGTCAGGATTCCCAATTACAGGCATTCTAGAAATAATCTCAGCAACTTTTTTAAAGGAATTATTTATGTAACCTAAGAACTCAGTTCCAGCATAGCAAAAGGCACATCCACAAAAAATATTTAATCACCCTTGGAGAGTGACAAAGCATTTTGGAAAGGACTACAAAGAAGTTGAACAGATACCCTTGTTAGTGAATATAACGAAGATATCACAAGTAAAGTCAACACATGCCCAAATGAGTATAAGAATGGTTTTGTTAGTTGCTGATATGGGCAATTTGAAGAGTTTGACACTTTGACAATCAAGGCTAGAGAGTTAACGTGTCCCAGTTCAAACAAGAAAGTCTATGCTTCTGTCAGAATCTACTTGATAAATTGGATCACTAGCTTAGTTCTTCTGACTGGGTTGTAATGTTATATCAGAAAGCAAAAAAGAAATAACCAAATGAATTCAGAGTGAGTTCAAGGTGCAACAAGGTACTAAGTTTGAATAAAGGCCCATAATGATCCCTTGAAGATACAACTGCCTGACCACTGTAGCTGTCAAAGTCATGGAGTACTGTAGCTAAATAGAAATGCCTCAAAGCTGGAAACATGGTTCCTGAGGAACCAATTAAATGACTAAAAGAAATCAATTAAAGGAAACCAACAATTTTCTTGAACAACTGAAATATGAGTAATAGACATTAGTGATGTCCATCAACTGCCAACAAAACTTTCTTCCATCAGAATAAAAGGGTAATATTTTGGTTATGAATATGGGCTGCAGCTCTTCAGGGATGAAAAACATTCTGGGAAGAAACCTGCTGTGCCTCCACCACACTGGACTGGTATTTTTCTTCATAAAATAATGATCTATCGATGAATACGCATGGTAGCCTTGTTCTTCCAAAACAGCTGAAGAAGTTTGATACAAAATCCTATGTACTATATACACTGTGAAGTATTCAATTCAATATGGAGAGCTATATTGCAAATTGTTGGTGCTCTGTCAATCTGCAAACTGAAAGACTGTCCTTTTTAAAGAACAATAACCCCAACCCTAGCTCTAAATTCTGAGAAAGAGCCCAGGAACTTAATCATATATGACATGCAAAGCAGAGACAGTCATCACTTTAGATCAGACATGTCAAACTCGCGATGTCACATGGTGTCACGCAATGTATTGGGACAGTTTTGCCATTGCCGGCCATAGGATGGGGACGGTTTCCAGATGACACATCCAGCCCATGGGCTGGTGGTCTGACACCCCTGCTTTAGATTATAAGCCATCAATATGTGTTGATATATTCATCTACTAAGCCAAGTTCTAAATTGCTTTAATATATTTTAATTTGGTAGTAAGTATTTAAAAAGAAAGCAGTCTTACTCTTGAGTCTATATGTTTAGATGTATGTGGTGTAGAGAACTTACATCATAAATCCTCATAGGTCATTAGTAAGGCCGGCAAATTGCATTTCTATAGAAAGTATTAAAAAATGAAAGTGGTAAGGCAGGAAACAGTACTGCTCAATCACACAGAACTGCTGTGTAAATATAGAGCGGGTGCACTCCAGTCTCAAGCCTGGAAAAAAACAATAGCCAGGAGTCCATTGACCAGAAAGAGCAAGAGAAAAGATTTAAAGCCTGAGGTTGATAAGACAGAGGTTTATTTATGCAATCTACATGAAGCAGATCTGCTGTGCATTTATACCTTGTTTTGTCTGCAATAAACTACTTATCTTTGAGAATCAAAACTGTTAAGCATCAGACATTACTCAGTTCTTGAATGGAACGAGAGTCATTGTCCACATGGAAGCCCTTGAAAATCACCAGAAAGCTTCAATTTGTTCAGAGTGTAGCAGCTCTTTTATTGGCTGCATGGGCAATCATAAAAATACTACACCAATGCCTGTCCTCACTTTTGAGTGTAAGGCCCTTATCATTATCTCTAAAGCCCTATATGACTTGGTGCCAAAATATCACCAAAATGTTCTCCAACCTGTCTGACTTATTTGTCCTGGAAAAAACATACCAGTAGATAGTTTTCCATTTCCCTTAAGTAGATAGTATAGTACCTACAGTTTTGAACAGCTTCCTGCTTAAAGAAATCTATGCTCGGTATGGTCTTCTGGAAACTATTAAAACAGGAGTTGATCTGGAGATCCAAGAGTGGTGTATCTCACCCAAGGGGACTGTAATTATGGATTTATGATTTAACTGGTTTTCATTTTCACCATGGACATTTTATTTCTATGTCTTCATTTCTGCAAACTGCCAAGTGTTTCAAGACTAGAGCAGGTAAGAAATCCAATAAATAATAAATAAGTATTCAAGGAAACTATTGTGAGGAACTGGCAGGATAGCAGAACACAGGAAAAGATACAGGCAATGGGTTCCTGCCAGAGGTTTAGCTCAAGAATGATCCAACAGAGGTACAGTGTGCAAGTGCAGATTCCTATTAATGTGAATCAGGTAGAACCCACTAAAAAAGAATGATGGCTTGTGTACCTGTCACCCAATGTAATGTAATGGACACCTGCAGAAGAAGTGGGGAAGAGCTTTGGCAACACAGAGCTTTCCAAGAGAGAGGCCCAGCTTAAGAGACTGCACAGTCCCGAGTTGGAGGGAAGGAGGAAGAGGTTTAGAGTTGCCATACCCTAGAACAGGGGTGGGGAATCATGCTGACTCAGGAATTCTGGGAGTTGAAGTCCACAAGTCATAAAAGAGCCAAAGTTCCCCACTCCTGCCCTAGAATCTCTTCATATATCTAGCAGCTTAGAAAGTTATGACTTTAATTTGGCAATATTCTGTCCATTAGTTGTAAGACTAGGTAACATCATCAATGCAATGGAGAATGGGATTTGTTGGCTACTTATTATATAGTGACTTGCCCTGCCAGTCCTGATGGTGTTGTGGCACTCTCTATGGTGACTCTCTGAGTATTGTTTCTTCCATAATTGTTTGTATCAGGGACCGGTTCCATGGAGGGCAGTTTTCTGCAGACCGGGGAGCACATGGTTTGGCACACTGCCTGGATACCATATGTACATGGATGGATCTTCACTTGCTTGCAGCCTGCAGACCAGAGGTTGTGGATACCTGGTTTATATGGTATATTGTTTCTCCCCCTCTCCTTTTATTAGAAGATATACGAAGAAGCACTTTTTATTGTTCTTGGAATATTTTGCTAAAGATGTTTTGAGCTTTAGTTTTTCTGACAGCATCTCTCCATTCTGGGTTACCTCTATCTATCTTTCTTGGTTATCTGACTCCTTCCACCTTCATGGTTGCATGTTTAGAAGAGCATAATTATGTTTCACACTTCCCAATTACAACAAACCTCAGTCCATCAAGCTGCAATCCTAAATAGGTTTAGTTAGCATAAATCCAGGAGATATTATACTAATTTGAACAGCACAGCCATATATAGATTTCACTTGGAAACAATCATCTCATTGAATTTATATATTTTTATTATAAAACTATAGAAAATAATTTTACACCTTCAAAATTCAATTTCTCAGAGGTTTTGATATTTTTTCCTTAGTTATCTAAGGTACATCAAGTATTGTTTCTTGCTGAATTTTATTTATAGTGGTTTTTACAAATCTTTTTCTATAATGGCAGCCACAACTGCATGATTTTTCCAATTGAAATAAAATATGCCTTTTCTATGTGGCCTATTTTAAACTGAACTCTTTCTGGATTCAAAAATTAGAATGGTCCAAGAGCTGAAAGGAAAGATCGTCTCATATCACCCTTCCCGGATTTCAGGAAGCATACTTTCTTGGTATTACCTTATACAGTTAATTTCACGAATTGGTTTACTGGCTCTCTTCCTCAAAAGATTTAAGACATGCATTATTAATTGCTTACCAGAATGAAGATTTAAAGCCTATAAATCTGATCTGCATCAAAATGTACTTTGATGCACTCATATGCACAGTTATAGCCAGACAATCAAGGCCTATTCCAGGATCTGTAATTCCATTTCTCATTTTGTTTTCTTCCTCCCTGTGCAAACATGTTTTAGATATCTTCCTTTCCCTTCCCTTCCCTTCCCTTCCCTTCCCTTCCCTTCCCTTCCCTTCCCTTCCTTTCCTTTCCTTTCCTTAATCCCACTTCTATTAATTTAATTCCAACTAAGTGAATACAGATTTTGGGCAAGGGGACACAATGTTGTTCTAAAATTGTATGAGTTTCAAAAATCTCCTTTTGTTTATGGATAGTATTATCTTCCCTACTCAGACAATAAAATCAATAATGGTACATGAGATTCTGAGGTAGTCAGAAAGAAATAATAATGTCATTTAGAAGTTTGATGTCATCTTCTCCATACTTCCACAGACAAGGAGCTATATGCTGTACATCTACATTATTCAAAGGGATATATATTTATACACATAAGTTTTTTCTTGAGACTGACAATGGTAATGAATACACAATGGGAAAAACATTCAAATAAGATTCACAGTGCCCAACTGTAAATACCAAAGAAGGTCAAAATCCCTCATCATCCCATCAAATATTTGCAAATTCCCAGAACATCTTAAAAAATAATTCTTACCTCTTTCCACATAATATCCTCCCACGTTCCATTTCTTAAAACTGAGGAAGGGAAAGACAAATGTAATTTTGTTCCTTTAAAAACAAAAGGTAACATATGACAACAACTCAGAAGGACCAAGAGAGAGAGAGAAGGTTAATTGAGCCCTAACTTGATTCTCTTCAAAATGCTCAATGGACCTGAAAACTATCTGGTCCATTGAGCTAAGTGTTTTCTACATTATGGGCAATTCAGATGCCTTCCTAATGTTTGAGATGGTTTAAATAAGTTTATGTGGATTGCTTATAATCAGAACTCCAGCTTACCCAATGTGAACCCAGGAACTTCACCATATGCTACCAGCAGACCCATTTCCAGGGCTATCTTTTCTTCATTGAATTGGCAGTGAAGGACAAGGTAGCATTCGTAAGAGTACTTCTGAATAAATGTTTCATTGGCAATCAAAGCTCCTTCATAAAATTTTATGAAGGATTTTCCTCTTGTGTTTTATCGTAACTGTTTTCCTTTTATTTTCTTTCTTTCCTGAAAACATGCATTAATGCAAGAAAATGGCATTGCTGCATATTGATTTCTGATTGGCAGAATCAAGAGCTACCCATGAGTCAGAAAACAGTCAGGCCCCATCCTTCATTAGTTCATTATTGGTGAAGTAGCTAATATACTGTGTCCTTTTCTCAGATTAATTTGAACTTTAAAAAAATGCTACTCAGTTTCTCCCTACAAATTAAGACTGTAGTCCATGAGTGGACCATTTTTTGTATTTTTAAACCTTCACTGGTAATGTTGTGCATCTTAATTAAAAAATAGCAACCTGCGCTAATATTGTAATTATTACTGCTCTCTTAGACATGGATTGCCATGTTAAAAATCACTTAAGAGAATTGATCTGAATACTGAAATCACTTACAATATGGCATTCTATATCATTAAATTCAATATACAAATTTCCATAAATGAAGAGCGGATAGTGAAATTAATGGAACTAGCACAGATGGAAAAATTGACTACTTTGAAAAAAGGTAGAAGTGTTACCTACTAGCTTTCTTACTATATGGAGACTGCTTTTGGACTTCTTGCTTGAGAAAGATAAAAATGAAGTTTTGGGTTTAGGATTTGATAATTAGATTTGTTGTGATTGTAGAAATATTGTGTATTACAAGATACATATATTGTATATTGTTAAGGTTTGTGTTTAGGTTAGGTGGTTATTTTGCTATATAGTTTTAGGATTATTTTTATTAAGTTTGTATATTGTTTATATGTTTTTGTTTTAATTTAAATATTATTTGTACCTGTACTGAAGAAAGTCAGACGTCAATCCTCCTTTGTATTCTCTTTTTTATTTTTATTACTTTTTAACTTCTTCCTCCTTTGATCTCCTCCCCTCTTTATTTAATCTTTTCTGTTTTCATTACTTTGTATTTTATCTTTCTTTGAAACTTAATAAAGCTAGTCAATGTCATTAAATTCAGTGATAATTTCCAGATAAGCACTGTGCCCTGTTGTCATTAAATCCTTTAACCCAATTGATGTTATTTCTACCTACATGAATTACACAGAAGAGTACAATATTAAATTATGCAACTAGTGATATTACTCACTGACTAGCAATAAATTGTTTCTCATATTCATTTATTTAGAACTGAATTAGCTATTACCCTAAAAGATACATACAGCAAATAATTCAGAACAACATAGCTACAGGACAAAGGCAAAGCATTATTAAAACAAATCAAAGCATGACATAATTTATATAATTTATAATAAAAACTTAATGAAAATTAGCAGCTCTTATCATAGCTTAATGCTCACAGTAAGAAGGCAAGGGATGCTGCTCTCAGTGCAAGCTATTCTCATTTACAGAATTGGGAGCTTTCTCCCGATTCTTAATCTTGGGAATCACATTATTTCGCAGTTAGCTGTAAACCAAACATTAATAAAACCAAACTAATAAGGCTATTCCTCTAGGGAGGCTATAACTCCTCCTACAGTATAATTTGTATGAGAGAAACTTAAAAGGCCTTACCTATTGTTTTCTTTTTGTTCATTGTGTTGTCAGCCTTGTGTCTTTTCTGTTGAGAAATAAAAAAACAAACATTTAGGTCAGGGGTGTCAAACTCAATTTCATTGAGGGCCGCATCAGCATTGCGGTTGCTCTCGGGGGGGAGGGCTGGGTGGGTGTGGCCAGGGTGGGTGTGGCCTACTGGGTGGGCCTGAATGAAGTGGGTGTGGCCCACTGAGTTGGCATGGTCAGCTCTACATCGTTCACTTCAAGGGTGCCTGTGGGGGCCTGGGCAGGAGTGGGACAGATCTGAGGGTCTCTGGCAGAAGGGGGTGGGACCAGGGCAAGTGCCAAGGCATAGTGCATTTCTTCATTCCTCACAAAGGCTGACACCTCCCCAGCATGCACTCAGGGGGCAGGGCCAATAGGGCAGGGGCTGGTTCCTCACTGTTTCAGGACGGCCTTGTGGAAGTAAGACTGAATGCATTTTAGCATAGATGGCCACCACAAAATTGTACATTGGCTCCCGGCCGGCCTGGGCCAGGGCCAAGGCAGAAGGGGCTGTTCCCTCACTGTTTCCAGGATGGCTTCACAGGCCACATGAAACCACTTCGCGGGCCGCATCTGGCCCCCGGGCCTTGTGTTTGACATGTCTGATTTAGGTGAATGAAAGATGAAAACTTCCAGAAAAATTAAAACAAAACATAAAAGCTTCATTATTGTTTCTAATGTGTGTTAATGGCTTAGGGAAGCCAGTTTGATTAATACTTAAGACACAGGCTAAAAGCCAGGAGACGCCCCACCTTAGGCATGAAAAGCCAGCTAGATTCATTCAGTCCATCTCGCCTCATAGGGTTGTTATTGTGAGGAAAATAAGAGGAAGAAGGAGTATTGTGTGTGTAAGCAGGCTTGAGTTATTTATAAAAATAATAAAGGCAGATATAAACAAATAAATAAGCTTTTCTTTCCAATGCATTAGTATGAATCCTTCTACAGGCAGTCCTCGACTTACAACAGTTTATTTAGTGACCGTTCAAAATTACAACGGCACTGGAAAAAGTGGCTTATGACTGATTTTCATACTTACGACCGTTGCACCATCCCCATGGTCCTGTGAAATTCAGAAGCTTAGCAACTGACTCATATTTATGACGGTCGCAGTGTCCCGAGGTCACGTGATCCCCTTTTGCAACCTTCTGACAAGCAAAGTCAATGGGGAAGCCAGATTCACTTAACAACTGTGTTATTAACTTAACAACTGCAGTGATTCACTTAACATCTGTGCCAAGAAAGGTCGTAAAATAGGGCAACATTCACTTAACAACTCTCTCACTTAGAAACAGAAATGTTGGGCTCAGTTGTAGTCATAAGTCGAGGACTACTTGTAGTTCAAGATGGAGCATTTTTTAATTCCTGTATGTAATGATTAGCAAGCACATGCATTATAGAAGGGGGAGCAAAGGGAAGTAAGCAAAAGACTTACTTCCTTTTCCCTTCCCTTCTGCTACTTTCCTTTACTCTCCTTCCTACTTCAAATCATTTTCTGGGTCACACAATAGGGCAGGAGATGGAAATCTATAACCTTCCAGATGGTTTATCTAGAACAGTGATGGTGAATCTTTTAGAGACCAAGTGCCCAAAACCCACTCTGCCCCTGGCCTGCCCCCGCTCTGCCCCCCCAGCCCACCCCATGCCCCATTCTGCCCTGCCCCGCCTGCCCGCAGGGCAACCCACCACCTCCATGGCCCACCGCAGATCCCCCAGGGGCCTAGCAGTGCCATGGCAGCCACACCTTCCGCCCATGCCCCGCAGCATCAACTGCAAGTGATATGACATGAAGGCGGAGTCTTGTCCTTGCTGCCCAGCTGCCATGTGCTTCACTGCGCTGCTCTACGCGGGCCGCATCTGGGAGCGACTCTCCTCTGGGGTGGCTGCTGGTGAGGAGGGGGCCACAGGGGGAGGCAGAGCTGGGGCAATGGCACACATGCCCCAGAGAGGGCGCCGAGTGCCGCCTTTGACACGCATGCCATAGGTTCACCACCACTGAGCTAGAATCTCAAATCCCATCAATCCCAGCCAATGTGGATGGGAATTTTATTTCAGTAATATTTGACATCCTGATATACAGAATATCTTCAGTAATATCTTCACAGCTTTTTGGCCAACCTAGCATTAAAGCAGTTGGTATAAGTGATAGAAGAACTTTCTTTTCTTTCCATAATGGGTCCATTTCTGCATAGCTGCACATGCAATTTCACACATAAAGTTCTAGAAAAATTTTCCTTATAGAATGCAAACCTTTCCATATGTTGCAATATTATCCCCAGGGAGGTTCATCGTAATTTTGAACAGTGGCTAAGTGACCAGCCTTAAGACCAGGATTACCTCCAATTATTTTCTAGTTGTCAAGCTAGTACACTCCTAGTTTATCTTGTTGTACTGTTATTTTTTAAATTAAAATATTTTTAATTTTAATCTTCAGTATCCCATTGTCTCAAACAGAAGCTATTAATAAAGTGACTTGAATAATCATGCAAGTTAAGTAGTTTTATTACAACAAATATAATGTTTCTTGCTGTAATGCAAAGGAACAGACATTTCTTCCAAAATCTAGATTTATACTCACATAATCTTCTATGATTTCTTTGATGCCAGCAACTGTTAGAATAAATAGTAATGGCACCAAGGTAGTATATCTTCCAGTTGGAGAAACCTCTGGAATTTGCTGAAAAAGAAATGTACGTATTCAGAAAAATATTCAAAGAAAGGGGATAGCAAGGCTGAAGTAAAGTATATATCACAAAAGAAAAATAGTGTTGTCTCTTAATTTCAGATGGGGGAATTAAGAGTGGCACAGATGAGTGAGGAATTTATTTTTATCTTATTTTCTTATGGTGCTTCAGCACTCAAAATAATCCCCCTTCTCTGCTGATTTATCTTGTCAAGGATCCAAAGCTGGAAAAATATGACTTGACAGAATCACTTGGGCAGAAATTTATAAAATATTTAAAATATAAACCTCCTCTGCCAGCAGCTGTTCTAAATGACCCTGTCCATACTAAGAAGTGTCATTAGCCTATAATATTGGGGCCTAACTAAAGTAACTACACTGGATTATGCGTAATCAAGGTTCAAAGCTATACTCAGACCAGATTTTTTTCTACAGTTAGATTTCCTGATGTTGTTAAACTGAAGCACACATCATCCCAGCCAAGTCAGCAATCAGAAGTGATAAGTAATAACCAGTGCTTTTTTTCTTTAAAAAAAAAAAAAGGTGCCGGAACTCACACATGTCATACAACCCGCCTTGCCTATCCTACAAGGTTCCATCCAAAAAAGGTGCCGGAACTCCATTCTGGGCATTCTATGAGAAAAAAAGCCCTGGTAATAACTGAGGCCCCCCAAATCAGGAAATACAGGCACAAAAAAGTATTGATTGACTCCTATTATTTGTTAATTAATGAGTGCTTCCTGATTGACTGGGATTACTGTCAAATGACTGCTGTCTTCTTCTTTTCTCTGACCCATACAGTTCTGAGCTTCAGCTTAAATTGTTGAACCTATATTGGAAAATCCAAATTCCGAGTCTGCTTTTGGATAAGATTGCTATTTCCAATATTTCTAGTTTTAGTTAAGCTTGCTATTTCCTGCTTTGATACTGCTAGGTTGTCAAGAGCTGGGGGGAACAACAGGAGCTTACCCCATTCCATGGCGCTCAAGTCTCGAACCTGGGCTTTCCAGCTAACAAACCATTAATCGCTGAGTCATTGAGCTGCCCCGTTGAGTATAACAATAGGCTAAAAGCATTATCATTACATTTTGTAGACTAGCATTCAATTTACCAATACCATTATGATTTAGCATAAAATGGACAAATGATCCACATTCATTTGTTGGACTACACTGAGCTCATCATGCAATGGTAAAGTCTAGACCAGGGTCTTCAAACTTGGCCCTTTTATGACTTGTGGACTTCAACTCCCAGAATTCCTCAGCCAGTGGGCCTGACTGAGGAATTCTGGGAGTTGAAGTCCACAAGTCATAAAAGGGCCAAGTTTGAAGACCCCTGGTCTAGACTTATGCAACTTCATCACTGCTACAAGAGTTGATAGACACAGATAGTTCACCTGTCGTATTAAATTAAGCTATGCATATAGTTGTTTTACTTCAATATAGACATACCTGCAGTAAGGCAATGAAGAGGAAGAAAGCATTTGCAGCTTTTCTAATCTGTTCATACAGGAATCGAGGTAGAAATGTCACCACGCTGTATTTAGCTGTGCTGTTTTGAGAAGCAAAATAAGACTTTCAAAGGTGGGAGAAGGTGAGAACATTGAGCTAACCGATTTAGCTGTGAATTGAATCATGGCCAGATAATTAGATGATTGCTTCAAATTAATACAATCACTTTTATTTAATGGTTGCTGTTTCTAGCATCTATATCTTCGGCTTTTACACATTCCCTCCTCAGTTTTTCTGTAATAAGCTTTTCAGGGCTTGCCAAGTCCAAGATCAGGGATTTACAAAATCTCTCTCTCTCTAAACCTACTAAATAAACAAACTAGGCCCAGGAAGAAAAGAGAGCACATTAGATCTAAACTGAGAATCATCACAACTAAACCAAAGAAACTAAGTAACTTCCTTACTAGATAACCTCAACAATTCTGTGACACACAAAGAGGAGGTCTCATTTCTATCACTTTCAAATCCTACAGATATTTACTATCAGAAAATCTCAGTGTTCTACTACATTAACATAGACATAGTTCTGCATCCTCGGTAGAAAGATAGGATAGGATAGGATAGGATAGGATAGGATAGGATAGGATAGCATAGCATAGCATAGCATAGCATAGCATAGCATAGCATAGCATAGCATAGCATAGCATAGCATAGCATAAAAACTTTATTGTCACTTTAAATGTATACTAATCAGCATACATTAAAATGAAATTTTGTTGCATTCAGCTCTCAGAAAAATACCATTTTGCATACACCCACATGCACAAACATATATGACACAGTGTATTCAAACAGAGACTTTCTAATTTAGCTTTTCTAAATGAACATTGTTGTTTCAGGTTTTGTTTTGTTAGTATTTGTAGTTTAATAAACAATGGATATTTCAAAAATAAATAAATAAATATAGTTCCCATTCTCAAGGCAAATATATTAGAATTCTGCTTTGCTTCCATTATGGATGGATTATTAGAGCCAGCAGGCTTTTATCTGATCGTGAACCACAACAATTTAAAAAAATCCTTTGTAAATGTAGCAAGCAAACTTCAGCACAACGGACAGTTCTTTAAGAGATTATATTTTTTTACACATTCTGCATAAGAAACAGCAGCTCACGTCAAATTATCCTTTGCCTGTACTGCCTGTAGGCCTGAACACTATATGATATGAAATGTTACCTAGTGAGAATTTTTTTTGTCTGTTGAAAATAGAAAATCAGCTGTGATTGTTCCTGCAGGTTACCAAATCATATAAAGAACTGCTTGCACGGCATCCATAATGTTTATTGCTGCTTTGGGATCTTTTTCAGCTTGAAAAAGAACAATCCTCCAATGACATTTTCAGCAAGCATTTTTAATAGAAAGGACAAATTTCCTGCAATAAATCCCAGGTACCTATAAATTGGGTCCTGGTCCAAGAGCTGGCATATTTCATCTTTCTACACTGTAACTATTGTCTTAACTATAATTTATATTTTGGCCATCTTAAAAATTGCCATTCCTACACCTGTTTTTCATTTTCAGATGTCTGGCCCAAGGTTGTACTGACTCCAATAATATGCTCAAAACAAGAATAAAAAAAAATAAGAGCAAAATCTAAAAGAAATCTATACTGGTCATTTCTAAGAATATACTGTAGAATGAAAAACACAGCACAAGAATCAGAGATCGTTTCTATATTGTCAATACATATGGCACACCTATATTGTTCAGGAGAAATAATAATAATAATAACAATAACAACAACAACAACATTGGAAGGGACCTTGGAGGTCATCTAGTCCAACCCCCTGCTCAGGTAGGAAACCCTATACCATTTCAGACAAATGGCTGTCCAGTCTCTTCTTAAAAACTTCCAGTGTTGGAGCATTCACTGCTTCTAGAGGCAGGTTGTTCCACTGGCTAATTGTTCTGTCAGGAAGTTTCTCCTTAGTTCTAGGTTGCTTTTCTCCTTGATTAGTTTCCATCCATTGCTTCTTGTCCTGCCTTCAGGTGCTTTGGAGAACAGCTTGGCTCCCTCTTCTTTGTGGCAACCCTGAGATATTGGAACACTGCTATCATGTCCCCCTTGTCCTTCTCTTCACTAAACTAGAGATATATTAATCTATATTTTGCAACACACACACACACACACACACACACGTCAGTTTTTGACTTATGGTGTCTACCTGGATAAGCCCCTGCAGTTTCTTGGCAAGATTTTTAGAAGTGTTTTGTCACTGCTTTCTTCTTTGGGCCGAGAGATTAAATGGCCGAAAGTTACCCAGCTGACTTTGTGCCCATGGCAGAATTAAAACTCATGATCTCATGATTTCTAGCCCTCAGTCACCACACCAAACTATCTCTATTATGTGTCTTTAATCTGAGTCACCAAAGACTGTCAGTTTTAAATAGCAATTACAACAAGACACTGAAAAAACTACATCCACGAATACTATATGGCACTGAAACAATTCACACGTTTTATATTAATATTTTTAAAACCTCAAAATTAAGACATCGCCAGGATTCACAAAACCAATACAAAATGAGATAGCTTGTTAGTACCAACAGGAATCAACTCTTTGCAAAAAACAAAAAAAGCAACACAGAATTTTTGTTTTTCATTTTCCATTCTTTCTTTCATCATTCATCTTTCATCAGAGCCGAGGTGGCGCAGCAGTTAGAGTGCAGTACTGCAGGCCACTTTAACTGACTGTGTTCAGCAGGTCAGCAGTTCAAATCTCACCGGCTCAAGGTTGACTCAGCCTTCCATCCTTCCGGGGTAGGTAAAATGAGGACCCAGATTGTTGGGGGCAATGTAAACATATATATATACATTGCTTACTGGTGTACACCGCTTAGAGAGTGCTTGCACTTAAAGCAGTATATAAGTCTCATAAATAAATAAATAAATAAATTTCAAATGTCTAATGCACATAAATCTAACTTCTCTGAAGCCATTGACCCTACTTTCAGGCTGCATCCTGCATTATGCTGAAAAGAAAGAATGGCTAACTTCCTTTTTTCCCCTGAAGATTTAGGGCACAGTATCTTCAAGCATTTTGAAGCACAGGTGCAGACAAGCTATAACCAGAACATTTAAAATAAGAAGCACATAGAAGAATAGTTTGTACCTGCAGATTTTAAGAAATAAGTGAAATTCATCTTGTGCTCTAAAAGAGAAAATACACTTCCGATATAGGGGAAGAATTCTGTTTTTATAACTCAGAATGGAGTGTGAATATATAAACTAGAATAGCTAACTGATCAAATGCAGACAATAACATATGAGCACATTAGCAGAAATATAATACATTTTGTTCATACTGTGAGCTTTCCAGAATCAATTGGAATTGGGCAACATCTAAAATAAATTTAGAAAGTTAAAATCACTACTGTCAAGGTCAGGCTGAGACTGTAGTCAGAACTTGTTTGTTTGCTGGACTTAAATTCTGGTCTCCAGCAAATGACCAGAACTTCTGCTAGAAGTTCTAACAGCAAAAGCCCAAAATGCAATAGACTGAACATGTTACTCAATTTAGAGATGGGAAAAAATTTGCCATGGGCTTTAATGGGAGTAACTTGATATCATCCACCAAATCAACCTCAATATGGAACATATGGACTTCTTTGTAACAGATGCATCCAAAATCATGAAATTAGGAAAAGTTGTACATAAAAAATAATTAGAACTTATAATACGCTATAAATATTAGAGGGAAGAAGATTTCAAAAAGTGAAAATCAGGAGAAATGAGTAGAATAAAATATTTATATGAAAGCAAGCATGTTATAAAGGCTATGCAGGTAGGAAAAATGCAAAAAATAAATGAAGATTTTTCTGCTGGCTATTCATTTGAAAATATGTGATGTTAACATGGGTCAAATTAATTCTTAATCATACATCTCTGATTCAGGTGGGTCAAAAAGCTACTTCCCAGGTTTTAACCAGAGACATCTATATATTTCTCACAGCCTTCTGGGTAGCTCTATCTGCCTCTAAACCTTTTTGTCTTCTATGAAGGAACCCTGAGGACACAATTGCAATGAAATTATAACAAATTATAGACAAACAAGACTTATAATTAAGTCAGATAAGGGCAAAAAGCTCCTATTCTGACACCAAGCCAACAACTCAAGAAATTTCTTACTGTTTGTCAATTATGGGGACATATGACCTCATTATTTCAACTGTCAGGCTACCAAACTATTTCCAGGTCAAAGTGAAATTGCTGGTTAGCACTCTGCAAACCCAACTTCTGACTTTCAAGATGTACATACTCATTATTCCCAACTGTCAAAACTCAATAGCACAAGACAATAGGAGATGTAATTCAATAACAACCAGAGACACAATAAAGCATAAAACTAATCTAATTTGAGGGTATCTGAAAATGCAGTTTGCTTATGGTTATTGTTTTTCACAGGAGACTTTCTCCTTACTCTGCTTGCAGCTGGATTGTTAAGGCTTACATGTAAAAATAATTTTTTTCTTTTTCTTTCTTTCTTTCTTTCTTTCTTTCTTTCTTTCTTTCTTTCTTTCTTTCTTTCTTTCTTTCTTTCTTTCCTTCCTTCCTTCTCAGTTGGACAACTCTAGTAGAAAAAGCAACCAGTTTAACTGATAAAAATAGGAAGTTTGGATATGCTGTATTACCAGCAATGAGAATCATTTTGTTCATTGACTCATTTAATTCAAATTTCATTCTTTTGTTTTTAGGTATCTGTAGTTGCTGTCAAAGAAACCATGCCAAGAAGAGAATTGTTTATGTCTAATTGTTTTTGAACACACCTTGCACAACCCTTCAGCAGGAAGAATTATCTTGTATCTTGTTCATTAAGCTTTCTGACCTCTGGCATTCTTATAATTTTGCAGTTAACTCTGAGTAAGAAAATTGATTGCTGGCAAGCAATAAAACATGACAATATTCTTCTCATTTATTTGCTTGCATTAATTAAACACCCTCACATTAGCCTATTTTTGTTGTCAGTGCACCATTAGGACTCCAAAACAATGTTCCATCTGAAAAAGCATCAATACTCAGTAAGGATGAGTTTCTATATAC